AGAGTATTAATAAAAGTAAGTAATTAATATAATTATTTTATTTACTTAATTAACTTAAAATTATTAAAAGAAATAATTAAGATTTATTATAAGTTTAATTATATAAATAACTTAATTAAACCTTTAAAATATTTACCTTTTAATAATAATTAATATTTAATTAATAAGTATAACTTTTGTTTTAATGCTTTATTTATTAATACCTTTTAATAAAATTTTAAGTATAAATTATCTTAAAGTTAATAAAAGTTAATTTATTAAGTAATAATAATATTTAAATATTATTACTTATAAGTAAATAATTTAAAAGCTAATTATTAATTTATAAATATAATATAAAAATATTCTTTTCTTTCCTTTTATTTTATAATTAATTATTATAAAATTTACTTAATAATAATAACTTTTATATTAATAATAACCTCTTTTTTTAATAAAGAAAAGGTTATTAATATAATTAAAAGCTTTAAAAATTATTTAAATTATAATAAAAATCTTTTTAATAAATTTTAATATAAGTTTTATAAATAAATAAAGAAATACTTTTAAAAGATTAATTAAAAGCTTTTTTATAAGCTTAAATAAATATTTTATTATTATAAGAAATATATAAAATATAATTATATATTAATAATAAAGGCATTAATTATTTTAGCTTAATTAAATAATTAAGAATTGCTTTAATAACCTTAAAAAGAGTTTATAATAATAACCTTTTATTTATAATTAAAAGTATATAAATATTAATAAAAGCTTTTTAAAGAAAAGAAGCTTAAATTAATTAAAATAAAGCTAATTATTATAAAGCTAATTATTAAAAAGCTAATACTTTTTTATCTTTATTAATTATAACCTTTTTATTAATTAATAATATTCTTAATATAAGCCTTATAATAATAACCTTTTTTATAATAATAATAACCTTTTTTTTATTAAGAAATATAATAATAATAATTATTATTAACTTAAACATAATTTATCCCTTAAGTACTTTAATTAACTTAATAATAAAAAGAAAAAAGCTATTAAAGTAATAATTAATTAATTAAAAAATAATATTTAAATACTTTAAAGCTTTAAAGTATTAATAAATAAATAATTTAAGTAATTTAAGCATTTAAAGCATTTAAATATACTTATATTTAAATATTTATATTTAAATACTTATATTTAAATACTTATACTTAAATACTTATATTTAAACTTTTAAAGCAATAGCTATAAGGTATTTAACCCTTTATAACCCCTTAAAAAATAAAATATTTATATTAATTAAGTAATTTAATTAATTAAATAATAATTTAAAGGAAAAGCATGATTTTAAAGCATATATATATATATATATAAAAGATTATTAATATAAAAATAATATATATAAGTATTATATATAATATGCTTATATAATAAGTATATTATAAGTAATATATAAATTTAAAAATATAAAGTTTAAATTAATTTTATTAATAGCAATTATTAATTAATGCTAATTAGCTATTAATTAATAATTATATATCTTATACATGGATTATTATAATTAACTTATAATTAAATAAGAAAAAGCTATAACTTTATTATAATTTAACCTTTATATTATAGTTAAATTAATTATATACTTTATTTATTTATTATTAATTATATAAAAGCTAAATTAATAATATTAAATATTAATTATAATTATATTATTTTTTAATATAAAAATATATTTACTTAATTATAAAGTTTTATATATATATAAAAAGTATAAAAAAGAAAATAAATATTAAATCTTTTATTAATTAAAAGTTTTTTAAAAATTATTTAATTATTTAATTATTTAATTATTTAATTATTTAATTATTTAATTATTTAATTATTTAATTATTTAATTATTTATTTATTTATTTATTTATTTATTTATTTATTTATTTATTTATTTATTTATTTATTTATTTATTTATTTATTTATTTATTTATTTATTTATTTATTTATTTATTTATTTATTTATTTATTTATTTATTTATTTATTTATTTATTTATTTATTTATTTATTTATTTATTTATTTATTTATTTATTTATTTATTTATTTATTTATTTATTTATTTATTTATTTATTTATTTATTTATTTATTTATTTATTTATTATTTATTTATTTATTTATTTATTTATTTATTTATTTATTTATTTATTTATTTATTTATTTATTTTATTTATTTATTTATTTATTTATTTATTTATTTATTTTTATTTATTTATTTATTTATTTATTTATTTATTTATTTATTTATTTATTTATTTATTTATTTATTTATTTTTATTTATTTATTTATTTATTTATTTATTTTTATTTATTTATTTATTTATTTATTTATTTATTTATTTATTATTTATTTATTTATTTATTTATTTATTTATTTATTTATTTATTTATTTATTTATTTATTTATTTATTTATTTATTTATTTATTTATTTATTTATTTATTTATTTATTTATTTATTTATTTATTTATTTATTTATTTATTTTTATTTATTTATTTATTTATTTTATTTATTTATTTATTTTTATTTTTATTTCCCTTTCTCCCTCCCTTTATTTCCCTCCCTTTTTTTCTTATTACTTATCGCTTATCGCTTATCGCTTATTGCTTATCGCTTATCGCTTATTGCTTATTGCTTATTGCTTATTGCTTATCATTATCTTAGCTTACCCCGCATACAGGGAAAAAGAGCTAATTAAAAGCATTAAATTTAAAGATTTAGGCATTGTTAAGAGTTTATATAAAAAGCTATCTTAATTCTTAACATTTAACCTTTATATTTTTATTTATTTCTCTAGCAAATTAAGGTTTTAAATTATGCAACCAAAACCATTATATAGAGAAAAATTCAGAGAATATTCTCATAAAATTAGTTTTCTATAAGAGAAAAGTAATATTTTTTGGTGGGAGATGGGTATTGGAGCTTATTCCTCGGACGGGATACAAAACCATTCTAAAAGAATGGCATACCTGACTTACCTAGTACAAGCAGTATCGCTCCAACAATGACACCCGCGTCAGTGCCTCCAGGTGTGGCCGTCACAGGAGCTGATGATGGGCTCTGTGCTCCATTCTGTTCTTGTTCACTCGGTACTCGACTTGGTATCGGACTGGGTTGAACTGGACTGGGTCGATTGGGAACAGGGCTGAGGGTTGGTAGTGTCGTTGCTACCGGTGATGAACTGATCTCTGTTGTGGGCAGTACCGGGGCAAGTGGTATCAGTGAAGTGGTGGCAACTGGCCGTGGCAGGCTCGTCGTCAAGGCTGGCAACTGTGATGACTTCGTGGTGCTAACAGAAGAAGGGGTCGGCTGAGGTCTCCTCGTCCCAGGGAAGTGGCTCGTCGCAGCCGTCAATGTGATCCTCCTCCCAGATGTGGCGAACGTCGCTTGCCCACCATTGGCTTTTCCTTGTCTCGGTAGTATATCGTACAGTTCCTCGGGCTGGGCCTGCGGTGGAGCCACACCCAGTGCAGCGGCTCGCACAAACGTATTAATGTCCTCCATCGCAAGGCTTTAGAGTGGTCTCCGTCTATGTCGTCTTCGCAGTCATCAAGATCGTCGATAAAAGTCGTGTAAAGCGTGTCGTAAAAGCTGGTGAGCGCCGGGCTTCTTCTAACATGCACGGAAGCCTGTTCCTTGGGCCCGGCCCAAAATGCGTAAAAAGGACAGTCAACTGACAAGAATGGAAATTCTAGAATGCAAAATATGGAATCAGCAAGATCCATGAATGACTCCAATGGAGGATCTGCATGACATTTTCTTTCTTCTGATGGCAACTGATTCTATCGGAGTGGCCTCGTCCGAGAATGCCTCGCCAATACCAACTCGCTTGCATCAAAAACTGGCTTTGGCATTAGTGAGCCACAAATACCCAAGTACTCAAGTGCCGGCTTGACCAAACATATTCTGCCCAGCCTGGTCTCATACGGCCAAAAGGTTGTGAAGATCGAGGGCATCTTTGCCGGTGCACTGTCTCAATGAACTTGGCGTTGTGCTGCCAAGTAGCAAGGCACCTCAAAAGTTCGGCAAAACACCAGCCAAAAAGCGGCATGCCAAGATGCCCGCTCGAAGCTGTGTGGCCGCACCGCTGACATTCAGACACAGCCAAGTTGGGGATCATTGTTTCATCCACTTCAGCCGACTCTTCACGTCCGGTTTTTGGTCGCTTCCAGCCGCTCGGGTGCGACTTGCCACAAAACAAATGCAAGCCGAACCGAAAAGCGAGCAGGAAGGTTTAGACTAGCATATCCATCTGAGACAGCCCAGCCCTGCCAGTGTATTTAGCAACATTTGCCTACTGCCCGGAGCGCCAACAGTCTGCCCAGCTTGATCACTAGCGACTTAACGAGCAAAGTGGCTCGGGCTGGTCCGAAAGTCAAGCCTGGCCAACGTTGGGGACACCCTTCTTCAAGGCTCGCTTGTTTCTAAATGGCCGTGTCCACATTCCATCTTAGATTTGTCGATAAGTCTGGGGACGACTACAACAGTCTGCAAGGCCTAGGCCTATGGCCATCGTTGGCCGACGGTCAGCGTGACGCCACCAGAAACATCTGCCAATCTGGATCAGATATGGATTTCCCATGCCGTCAGCATTAGATCCATCTGATTAAAAGATCCACAAGCCGGTACTCAGGATGAACCCACATACCCCAGTGGTCTTCAAACCAGTCTCCATGGTCCTTTTGGCGGTACCGCCTTTCAGAAAGAATGCATGGGGGGAATCAAACAAAATAATCTGGGGAATATCCACTTTTACATCATGGGACATATGCATACGTGAAATTCCGTAACCATCGCAAGGGGACCGTCTCATATTCGACTTCCCTATGCAATGAAAGTGCGAAGCATCGCTACTCAGTCCTTGGAAGCTATGGGCGACAACGACGCAACAGGGCACAGGAACCAGCAGATTGAGAACCCCAACGCCGGCGGCAGAGAGCGGCGGCAAAGGTTCCTTGCCGCGGTGAGTACTATCCTTCTCTAGCGCTGAGCTCCTGCGTGCCACCATCGTATGAGGGCATCGCCGGGTCGCTTGGTTACCAGCTTGGTGCGGATAATTAGAATTCCTGCACAGCGTGCCTCGGCACGGGTGCTCTCACAGCCCAGAGCCGCGTCTACAGAGGCTAGTGCGACGATGGATGCCGTGGGGAAGATCAAAATAGCGACCTCGAGGGCAGCAGGCGGCGGGAACGGTGTTTCGTATGCGGCACGCGCTTCCTCCGGTGAGGGCCGGGACTGGAAACTGGCAAGGGCTCCTTCTATGCCGGCCCAAGTCATCAGGCTGCTCGCCATAAGACAGCTATGACCCATGCTGTCAGGAGTTCCAGGTTGCTTGGTATTCCTTGGCGGCGAGTCGCAGGCAGGTCTAACCGTCTAACCGTCCGTGAAAGAAACATCCCCACCCTCGCTTCGGTCTCACAACTGATCCATCACAGCACCGACAGTCTGGGTACTATGGCTCTACTGGCCAAACATTTTTGTATAAACCTTGGCTCCTTTCCCAACCCAGTGAACAAAGATGATAACGGGCTAATACTAACTACTCGTGACGATTTCACCATGTCTCCTCTGCCTTTCCGAAACGTTGCAGCAACCTTGGAAAGCTTCGACGCCCACGAAGCAGAAGCAAAAGCAATAGGTGTAGCATGTGCTTGTATGCAGATATTCGATCTGGTTGGATTTTGTTAGTGTTGTGTTCGTGGGCCCTTCTGATATGCCAGGCCTGTTGCTTGGCTGCGGCAAAGACGCATTTGGTCGGCCTCGCTTTGTCTAGGTTACCGCACACAGAGTGGCCCTAAAACACAAGAGCCTCCTCCCGGGAAAGAAAATCTCCAGGCATGGACTTGCTAAAATCATCATGGCCTTCCTGATAACGGAGAGGACCGCACGGAATTGATCAGACAGAGTCAACATCTGTGACCGGCCTTGCATTTTGACTCGAGTGACTCTTGTGGACGCTGCACAAAAATAAACAGACAATAGAATCGTCGACACAACAGCGCTTTGATCTCTTCAGTCACCGGTCAAGCAACACAGGACAATGATTACCCTGGAGGTTGCCAGCGTTGACGTTGCATATTGTGGGCCAGGGGAAGGAGCGAATGGGTCCGTTGACGGATTTGTGCAACCTTGTGATGTGTGTATAAGACTTTCATTACAATCTGGGCCATTTCAAAGGTCTAGAAGCAGGCAAAGAAAGCTCGACCCACGAGGGAGCGGCTGGTCCCGATGCACGTGGTGGGTGGATGTCGACGTATGAGACTGGGGTCATGCTAGGTTCTAGCATACGACGTTCTGCAACTATTTGGCCGTTCCCTAACTACTAACCTAGATTCAAGTACCCGAATACAGAATCCAAGTGACTAAACCAGAGCTCGTGATGTCCCGAGGACCTACCAGTCATTCTTGCCCGAGCCGTGGCAAAAGGCCCGTGAGAGGAATACGGCGGCCACCACTATGAAGAAGTGTGTGATGTGATATGCATTAGTCCACGGGTGTCCCAGTTTTCCGGAAGGTGGCTGCTTTCAGTGAGGGAATAGGGCTGTCGAGTAAGGCGCACCGATCTGCTACAGATAATCGACTCTCCTGGTAGAACAATCAGGCCAAGTGAATAGATTTCATCACGAGCGGTTGCATCATACATGTGCTGTACAATAAGGCCGTTCCAGCCAGACTGTTACTGATACATGAGGTGAGTGAGTGACCGATAAGGAGGGCTGTATGGAAGCCCAACAGTCCAGCTTCCTTCTGATTTCCAGGCGGTGTGGAGGACTCTGACGTGGAGGCAAGACCCACTTTGGCGCTTCGCATTGAATTCCAAGCACCGGCGGATTGCCTCGGACTCAGGGCCGCAAATGGCGCGGGAAATCGCCGTTGGCTGCTCACCTGCACGGTTCAGGGTCGAGGGGCAAGGCGATTGGTGGCGATGACTCGGTGTGGAGATGACTTCGTGCACCACGCAACGACCTGCAGCCCGAGGGACGAGGTGTTGTGACAAGACGAGCAAATCGGGTTTCGAATGGCTTTGTCAGCTGGAATACTCGGCCGCCTCGAAATCGACCTTGGGCAGCATTTCCGTCCAGCCAGCTTAAATGTGGGTCTGGGCTACTGCATCAGGATGGGGACCTGCATGCGGCCGTTCCAGATTTGAGGCAATCATGATGCCCCGGGTGGGTGTATTTGACTGGAGCTGCCCTCCTCGATCGTCCCCTCATTTCTACCCTTCTCCCCTTGCTTGATAACTATCTCGCAAGGGATGGGGAAAAGCGATTACTCTCGAACAGTGGCGGGCAGTGACTCCGGGTATGGCGGAGACGAGGCGACAGACAGGTCGTCTTCCTCCCTGCACCCTCTAGGTGAGTGGCATGACATCTTGGCAAGCTGATGTGGGCTCTGACGCGATATGCCTCACAGCTCGGAAGGGCTATGAGATCGGCCCGGCGTCCAAGTTGCAGATAGGAGATGTGAGTGCCGCTGGTGGCTCCTGCACCGCACCATGGCGCGACTGACCCGGAAATAGGTCTTCGAGTTCCTCTGGGCCGACTGCCCTGAATTCGAATACGAGTGGAAGTGTCTGGGGTACACCAGATTCATCGTGCTCCGGCATTCCGATAGCTTCCCTATGCACTGCGCTTGCGTGTGCGTACAGTAATCGCTTCTATCATCAACTGTGCATCTGACTAACAACTGTCAGGCCAATATCAGTAGGCAACAAGAGGAATTTTGCGAAGCCAGGCATCGACACGCTACAGCAAGGGCATGTCTACGCCTCTGGGGTCCGGGACCGAGATCGCGACAGCGCGGATCCCCAAACACCAAGCCAGCACGACAGTGGCCATTCGCAACTCCCGTACTCGTCCGTCGGCATTAACTTGCACAGCGGACGTCACAAAGTAAAGGAGGACTCCCGCGCGAACTACGCTGATGTTGTCGAGGTGGATCATGAAGCACAGGTCATGGTGGTCGGTGATGTGGTCAAATACTTTGACCGGGTGCGCAAGAACGTGAACAAGGCGTTCATGCGACAGATTCTGCGGGACGCCTTGGGCGACTACTGCGAGCGCAAGCGAAGCGAGTCTCAGGCTGCTGGGACCAGGGGATGGGGCAACAGCACAGCGTCGCTTATCAAGACGGCACAGAGCCACCCGGAGGGCGACCAGCCCGCCCCAGACGAGGCTGACCCCCTCCACGACAAGCAGCCTGAGGATGTCCAGCAAGAAAGTGTGCAACCTGAGCACATGCAGCCGGAACATCCACAGCCTGCAGTCGCGAACCCGGCGGAAAGGGAGGCCGAGGAGAGCTCAAGTGATGGCGCGAAGGAGGAGAGCGAAGAACGGGAACAGCCGAGTACCAGTGGTTCTCACCCACCTCGCACCGCAGAACACCGTGCCGCCAGGACCGCGTCACGGGCAAGGACGCATTCAAGTACACGTTCGAGGAACCACTCAAGAGCAGGTAGTCCCGCCCGAGAGGCACAGTTGGGGTTGAAGCCGGGCATGGACCGGGCTGGGCTGCAGAGCCTGCGCAACCTCAGGCGTGGAGCGGCCAGCGAGGACCAAGACGATACGCTGTCTCTGCGGTCGCTAGCCATGGTGGGGAGGACTGATTCGGGCTCGTCGAGGAAATCGCGGAGGTGAGACGACGCTCAGGTGGCGGAACGTCTAAGCTGCAGTTCAGTCTCGTCCTAGGTTCGGTCAGAAGGCGCATACAGCGTTCCTGCCACCAACAATTTGGATGAGACCTAAATACCTGAGAAACGAAGGACATATCGGTACAAGATGTATACGTTTTATGAGGAATACCACAAACATTCGAAATAATCTGATGAGACTCATAATCACCATTCCTAGGTAGGTTGACGGAGCACTGGCAGGCTGCGTGGATTGAGTGACCTTGTGTTCCAGGGGGTAGATGCGTGTAAATACCTGCAAAACGGCGGGTGGATAAATCGGTCAAGAAGAGTCAAACACTACTCCCTAATCTTTGTCTTGCAATTTGATGCCCATCTGAGCAGCCAACTGTGGTTTCCGTCAGGTACACGTCGGCCGTGACTGCCCACCTAGGTACCTTGGTGGGTCATCACTTCCAAGGTCGGCAGAGGTCATGGGAGACACCTCAGCAGGAAGTTTTAGCAAAGGAAGGAACCAAACACTTACCGCTGCTTGGAAAGCACCCAGCTCCCAATCCGTTTTCATCTGCCTCCCAACACTTCCAAACCAGTCATCTCCGTCAGGGCACTTCGAACACCCCCTTCTTGGTTGCCCACCACTTCGACTGGACCCATTCTGAACTGCGGCCTCAAGTTGAGAAAAGACAAGGCCTCTGCTCTATATCTTGCCACACTCTCCTAAGGCTGCCACTCAGCCCCGTACTCGCCGCGCAACACACGACTCGGCAGACCATCTTCCCTCCTTTCCACGCCCACGATGGCAGCGGTCACTGCTCCATCAGCGTCGACAGTCTCGGTATCACAGCCTGACAGCGACGCCGAACCTGCGGACAGATTCCCACTCGTGCGGCTCATTCCAGACATCCGTGTCATGATTTGGAACGCTGCAATGCCCGACTTTGCACCTTGCCACTTCTGCCTACACTGTGAAGGCGATTTCTCCAAGACCACCTTGACGCTCATCGCCGACCACATGACCAAGGCTCAGCGCATGCCCATCACCACTCTTTCAAGCGTCTGCCAAGAGTCGAGAAATGAGGTGGTTCTGAAGTACCCTGACCTGCTTCCGTTGCACGCTGGGAACTTCATGAGATTCAGCTCTTCCAAGGATGTGGTTTTGCTCACAACAATAAAGATTGAAAGCTTCGGGCCAGTTTTGCCCAGCTTCCACCTTACCGAGCCACCAACCATGGACACTGTGATTCATTTCCCATTTGAGTGGAATGCTCAGGTTCAAAATATCGCTTTCAAACCAACCACCGCCTTGGAGCGAGCCGGGATTGGAGCACTGTGTCCCGAAATGATCGGCCTTTTGGCCGTGGCTATGGAACCCAGATTCAACTTTCTCAATCTGTTCCCACGGGTCAAAAATTATTTTTCCAAACACACTGTGGTGTGTGCTTCGGAAACACTGGAAGCTGTGAGGAAGGAGTGGGAGATGTCCATACAGATGTATGTCGAACTGGAATTTGCCAGCCCTGAGCATATTCCATCACCGGGCAACCCAGTTGATTGCACTGAGACCTTACGAGTTTGGCGGGAAAGCAATCTCGAGAATACTGCTACGTTTCTGCGCGATCGAAAGAAGTGGTCAGCGGCTATTGACAACATCCTGGACCATATGATGAATGCCAACACGCAGCATGACACCGAGAACCGGGCTCTCGTCACAAGGCTTCGCGGAATCAACTACTCGACAATGGTCGGCTTCTGGAAATATCACTAAACACAGTCAGAGGTGGTCACATTGGGCGGGGAGCGTTGTCGGGAAGCGCTGGATCTTTTTGGGCTTGAGCAACGACAGCCCCATGGATGAATTCAAGCTCGCGTATCTACGGGCGAACAAAGATGGTATAGGAAGGATGATGGAAAGGCCATCTTATTTTTTGTAGTCTGGAAGATTCGTTTGCTGGAATGTTGTGTTGGTGCTGACACAGACTGGTTGTTGCGGTTTCCGTCTTGCAGAAGAACTAGAAGTAGTCTCGGGAGAAGTCAAAGAGGCCTCAGCTGGATGTCCAACCTTTCGGCGGGTCGTGCGCAGAATGGGACATATTTGCTCAACTCCTTTAATGATGGGTAATCCACATCCAGGTATGTCATTCAGAGTTTTTCATATGTGAAGGGTCACCCTCATGGATTTATTGAGTGAATAATATTGCGCCACATCTCTGCATTTGAAGAGCGCCAGGACGATTTCGTGTCCAGTAATGTTAGTTGCGAAGACACCGGGACAAGCCAGTCAGTCGGGACGCCCTAACGGATAAAAATCTTCTTAAAGTGGTGAATGAGGGATCTGCTTGAGTGGAACAGATTTTGATTGTTCTTGTTCTACAACTACTTAATTTAGTTCTTGCTAATACCTATGGTGAAAGATGTTCATTCTTCAAAGCTACAGTGAAGATTGTTAAGCTAATCGTCTCATCAGAATTAATCAATTTGCGTATACCTAGGTATGAAATTGCTCCCTTCCATGCTTACTGTAGCCAAGAACACACCTCTTCCTTCCAAAAGATCTCTACTCCAGGGCTCACATGCAACAAGATGACCCCACCGGCCTGCCAACTATCCAACTATTTGGTTGGATAACTCATGGTCGAGCCGAGTTCAAGCCTGGGTTGCACGAGACGGACTGTTGCCCTGCTGGCTCCCACCTCGTGACGTCGACCGTTGGCCGAGGTTGAGACTTGCGATACTCGGAATCCCCGACGGCGATTCACGTCGCCGATCTCTAGCATTTCCTCGTCTCCTCCCCCGGTTTCTATTGCCTTGATATCCCCGGCCTTGATGGGCAAAGCTTTGCAGGCCGCGATAGGGTACAGGAGTAGGATTTGGAGTGGAGAGTGGTTCGATAGGTCCGAAGGGAGAAGGTGTCCGCGGCCCATAATAAGACCCATTGCTTCCGTTCCCAAAGTTGCCATTATACCAACTAGGACCGTACGCATTATAGGCGTAGTTAACCTGTGGACCAATCATCAGCGATTGATATGGACCAAAGGGCATTCCTCCCATCGACAGGTTGCGTGGAGCAGAGCTAGGTCCCGACTGGGGCTCCGGATAATTGGCATAGTTGGACACGTGGTAGGACGTGGATTCGGGTGTGCTGTAAATCGCTTGGATGACATTCGGAGCAGGGCCAGGTGTATTTGATACTGGAATAGGCCGGTGTTCACCGCGTGAGGCGGCGGCCTCGGCGATTCGGTATGGGAATGGGACGGGCGTGTCTATCATCGTGCGTCGTGCGATCCACTCGGTCCGGGCCATCTGTTCGGCCTGCATCTGTCGATGTCGATTCTGGATCAAGACATAATCGAGTTGGTCTGCAGTAAGACTCTGTTGATCCTGCCTCTGCTGGAAATTTTCCCCAGGTGCATTTGCTTGTGGCCGTGGCCGTGGTTGTGGGCGTGTTGGTGGCGGTTGGTCCCAGAGCCCTGCCAGTGTTGTCTGACTCTCTGCAACAACACCAAGCTCTTCCAGCATCCAGAGCCTTTCCGATACTGATTTATAGTCATAGTTGAAAGACCTTATTGCTCGGGAGTGTATACCATCAGAGGCTCGTGGCTGTGTAGCTCTGCTCTGGTGGCGTTCACCATTCTCCTCGCCGTTTAGCTCCAATCTTCTGCAGCGACGGCAATACTCGTAGCCGAGGTCATATTCACTCAGGCAGTCCCAGCAGAACTCCAATTGGCAAAATGCACACGTCATGTGTGGACAGCCCGAGTTCTTCTCGATCGGGACTCCGCACCAAATACGCGGACAGCGTTTTGTGTTCTTGGCGATCCAGGCCTCTGTGCTGTCCTCTGAGCCACGACCAAGGAGGTCTTGCCGGCAATGTGCGCATCCCTGCGCGGAGAGGGTCCAATGAGGATCCCTTCGCTGTTCAAGCCGGGTTCGAAACCGTGTCGGACAGGGAACCTGGTGCTCGAAGCACATATCGAACCCGCAATCCGGGCATCTTATCCACCGTCCTGGCTCTGTTAGCCGCCCGTCCGCGTCAAATACCATGCCGCGGCAGCTCAACTCTTCCCAGATATCGCCCGTATAGTAGCTGGCGCCTGAGCCACAGCCAGGCCGAAGGCACCAGCGGAAGTTTGGGTCTTCCCCAGTGACCTTGCGCGTGAGGAGATTATCGTAACGCGAGAAAGTTGTCGGCCTCGTGATCGTTTTGATCTCGTCGAAGGTGTATGTGTGATGGCAGGTAGGTTTAGGGCACTGGATCGCTTGGCAGGCTGCGGGGCCACGGGTGTCCAATGCACTGCTAATATGAAGATCGAGACAGCTGTAGCATACGTCGAGATGGTGACTCTCGCTACACGTCTGAAGAGCCTCGTCAGGGGGGAAGCTTTGGAGGTCCTGTCCAGTTCCATGTTCAGTATTTGCCGAGGTCTCCGCTCTGTCTTGGTGATGATCCTTCCGCAGGGTAACAACAGGAATCTCCGCGCAACAAACTGCACACTCGCGACTAGACGAGACCATTTCTGCAGAGTTTTGTGAAACGAGAAGTGAGGAAGTTGAGATTTACGGTTCTCTTCCGAACTATCCCTATTTTGTCAACAGTCTTTACGAATTTACACTTGAGGCAACCATGCCGGACCAAACACTAAGGAGATCCAGAAAACTTAGCGCATCCACAGTCCAACACCATCAACACGATGGTTATCTCAAGGCAGGCACAAGGACAAAACTAGAATACAGCTAAACGGCAGGACCTTTCGATTACATATAATTTGCCAGCGCACAACCGGTACCTAGGTATAATAGAGGATCAAGTCGGCAGCCGTAGAAATCAACATCCCATTTAATCTGATCTGGATACGAGAGGGAATGAGATAGTATATGATGAGAGGGGGAGACGAGAGGCATGGGAAATTGTCTCTCCCTTGAAAGGTGGGATTCCACTCCGTCCTTTCATTCAGATCAAGCACATTAAACCCACTGAGTGATTCATTTGAATGAAAACGGATGACCTTGATCCCTCAGTGTGATAGTTGGAGTTGGTCACATCAACCCTCACACTCAACCAAATTGAGTGGATCAAGATTAGCTGGTGTGCACTCTGAGGAGGAAAGGCTGGCAGCCGGACAATCTTGCCGTAGTTTTCTTTCTTTTTGGCTTAGATATGTCATTGTGGGAAGGGTCAGGCCCAAGAGCTCGGGGCCCTCCAGGTGATTCGTGGAGGTCCTTCTCGTTAAGATAAATTTCAACCCAGCCCCGAGAAGTGAACAAGACCACGTCGTGTATGAGAACGACAACTCAGCGATGTCCGCCTTGAATCACCCAGCCATCTTCAGCCGCCACAATGCCCCATTGACTAGCTTCACATATACTCCGCATCATAAAATCCCAAGGAAGCATAGTTGCTGCCCAGGATCGTCGAAATGGCCACCGGTGAGCTTAGCTTCTTCGCGAAGCTGGCCCTAGTGCCAGAGGCTCCCGTACCCGTGTTCCCGTACTCGCCAAAGGTGACGTGGCCGGTCCGCTCGTCGCCCGTGTTCCAGATGTGCCATCCCGCGCCGTTGATGACGGCGCTCAACGAGGACTTCTGGAATACCACGCGGGCGTACTCGCCCCACGGCCTCCCCAGGTAGTACGCGCCGTTGCTGACGCTGTTGCCGGACGCAGCTGCCACGTCGCAGTTGTTGAACACGTAGTAGGAGGTGCCGCTCGAGGATGACCGGCCATTGGCTGTGTAAGACCGTGTCAGTCCATATTCGCCATGATGACCGAGTCCGAAATCCGGGTGACCTACCAGTAATGTATCCGAGACTGGCCGACACCACCCTGATGTCATTGTCCTCAAACCACGCAGCTGCGTTCTGCCCGAAAATGAAATCGGTCGCTCCCTGGATGAGGTTGCCGGCGTACAGCTGCTTCCCCGTGTTTGCCAGCAGGGTGTCCTGGTATCCCGTGAAGGCGGAGCCGTAGTAGCCCGAGTCCGCGTACGCAGAAAGCGCGACGGCCTGGCTGCCCTTGCCATGGGTGTTGCGACATTGACGTTGTACAGCTTGAAGTTGGCGGCCTTGACCCGCAGCGTGGCCGTCTCGTCGTTGCTCAGACCGTCGGCCTGGCTCTTGGAGCCGGTAATGGTGACTGAGTTGGCGGCATAGCCGGTCGTGTCCGTGGTGGACCCGTAGATGGTGAGCTGGGCGCTACGGGCAGAGACCAGGACTTGTTCCTTGTAGGTTCCGGGACTGATGAAGATGCACTGGGTTCCAGAAGCTGAAGTCGATAGCGAGTTCACGGCAGCTTGGATTGTGCTGTAACCACCTGAGCCGACGGTGATGCAGCCAGCCGGGGCAGAGGTGCGGCTAGCCGCCAAGGCCGTGGTGGCGCATGAGACTAAGGCAAAGAGTGACTTCATGTTGTGAGACGATCGACTGGCTGTCAAGAGGATGAAGGCTGACACAGCATTGGAAGTTAGGGTCGGCCAAGTCGAAGGTAGAGTGCTATATAGTGATACGAGAACCGGCCCCGGGGCCCAGTGTGGACGGAAGGAGGCTCTTGCGGTGCCATGGCTCCGCATGTGGCTTTCTTGGCCATTGGTGGACGGGTGCTCCGGAGATAATTTGCCTGCGTATAACTCATTTGTGAACGGAACCTGACCAGCGAGAGTTATTCATCTGTTACTTAAGACAAAATTGACTGCCATGCCATTGCTCGGGTGCTACTATAGCGTGAGCAGCGGAGTGTATAAATGTGCGAGGCCCACCGGGACTAGCACGACGACGCTAATGGGGTCTTGGCATGAGCTTGAAGCCACGAATAAACCGACGTGGCTTGGCTGTCCGCTGCCTGTTTGGTGGATAAATCCCCGAGCCAAGGCGGAGGGCCGTAGGCGCCTATACTTGACACAATTGACGGGGGCCCACTACGCTGGCATGCAACACTAGATGTGCTTTTTTTCCTTCTTGTCGGCAAGATATTTGGGACTTGTTTTCAGCTTAGTCGGTAGCATCTTCATGATTCTAACAGCAAACCGCCTGTCCCCGCCCCTGGACAATTTAAGTTCAGTTCATCCAAACTTTGCCGTGCATGATAGGGGCGAGCTTGTCTCCCGAGGTCCCATGACCATGCAGCATCAAAGTCGTGCTAGGAGTCCAACACTGAAAATAGAACATGAGATGGACGGGAAGCATATCCAGAAGCTTGAATCTCATTCTGCTCAAGGATACTGGCGAGTTAAAATGATCAATCCCCCAGGGCAAACACAGGGGTATGGCACAATAGTTTCATGTCATTTTCCGAAAGTAGCTCTTGAGAAACAAACGGAAAGTTTCAATACGAGCTAGGAGAATTATGGGGTCCAAGGTAGAGAATCTTCGCCTTAACAAAAAAGCTTGTCAGTATGCTTGGTCAAAGTCTCATGCCCTTTTTTTGAATATGGTTCAGATTGCGCTGTGCCAACTGCCTTGGTATGAAGTGCAAATGACATTCACCAGCTTGCATCCAGGCCCATGGTTTGCCCGAAATGAGTGCTCGTAGACCCATCAGTCAATGATCCACCATGTGTCCCTCTTCAAGCGTTTCATGCCATTCCGTCTTCTCATCTGCAGTTGAAATCGCGCAGATTTTGCGAAGTGATCATAGCTTTGCTCTTCGTTTCTGCCCGCGTTAGCACCCACCGCCAGTGTAATTGTACGAGTGCGTTTGTCGAAGCGAGCGAACTTGTCGGCAAACCTTTCGCAATGATCGCGACTAAACTCCTTGAGAGTATATGTGTCTGGCGTCTCTCCGGAGCTTTCTGTGTCGTCTTCGTCGTCTGTGTCGGACTCATGGCCGTCGGTATCACTGCCCGAGTCTGCCTCCTGATGCTGTCCGTCCGTCACGGGAACCTCCTGTCCCTGCCCAACAGAATCGACATTGCCTTCTGTCATTGTTGGGCTGTCAGTGTCTTCAGGTTTGCCCTCAAGATCTAGGTCCTCTAGATCTTGCGCAAGTTCTTCGCCTCCATTGGTTTCGTTTCCACCAGTCAAAGTCGCTGTCGCATTTATGGGTGCGCTGTGGCTATCATGAGTGACATCCACATCCTTAGAGCTTGTGTCGTTCTCAGATTGCTGTCGAAATATCTTCGAGACGAGATCGACTTCTTTCCCGGTCTCGTCAACACAACGCACTTGATATCCGCACTCAATAGCCACAAACACCTCCACTGTAGCAGCTATAGCGCAATAGTATTCGCACATAGCGTCCGAGAACCTGTGCAGGCTCAAATGTCGATAGCCCCTGAAGCGAGGTAAATTCCTGGGGTCAGGTGTGTCAGGCGGTCTGTCCAGCACCTTGGCCGCTTCATCAGTGCCCCGACAGCCTTCCCCATCTTCTTCTTCAGATGAAACCGGGTCCTCAACTATACCGAGCACAGCCTGTACAGATAGCTTGAAATCGAAGGGATCGCCAGTCGTCTGTCCCAGTGCTCCTGTCGAGTCCCTGTCGAGATCCTCAATATGCTGAACGTGTAGAAAGGCCAGTCTCTCATCTTCCTTGGGGCGCTCCGTTCGGCCCTGGTTCCAGAAGGCACGCGTCTCAACAAAATACCAGTGTCCTTCTTCATCCCTCAGGGCAAAATGACTCTCTCCGTTCTCGAATATCGTTTCGTATGACTCTTCCCAGAGCAACAGCTTGGGGTCACACAGCAACGCAGGGACCTGGATCTGCAGCCCATATTGCGTAACAAAGCCATCCCTTCGAGGCTTGAGAGACTGCTCAATGTACCAGAACGTCTTGTCCATGCTCCCCAGAAACGACGTGGGCGCCCACCGGAGCCCAGGAACAGTCATCTTCTCCGGCGCCGTCGAGAAGACCAGCCCCACTGGGATCTTCCTCACGTTCCGCCAGAAGACAGCGAGCCTGTCGTCAGGCGGCGTGCGCATCACCAGCTCCATGTCCAACCCCATGTTGCAGAACAGGCACAGCACCTCGTCCGCGGGCACGCTCACCGCGCGCGCCTTAAGCGACTCGCGCATGTCCCAGATGTCTGGCTCGGGTCTGAAACTTTCCAGAATGCTCTCGGATACAGGCCCGCCCGTCTCTGCGAGGCCTCGGATGGTATTGCTGCCGCGCCACTTGAGGTGGAGCTCGGTTAGGAGTTCCTCGGTGGCGAGGGTCTGGTTGAACCCGCGCCAGATGTCCTCCATAGACATCGCTATATCCTTGAACAGAACCCATAGGCGTCCGGGCCTGGCCAGGCGGCCCTCCTGGAATGTCCACAGGCGGCGAGACCAACTGCAGCAGAGGATCCGCGCCCACTTCTCCACGTCGTCGATGTCCCTCGTGTCCTGGGTGTAGAGGTACGAGTCCAGGACGAGGACGAGAGCTGCGTCCTGGTATGGCTTGCGGAGGCGGTTCATGGCCCTTGTCCACATCTCGGGCGGGGATACAGGGACGCAGATCGTGTCAAGCCAGAAAGGCGTCTTACCTTTCCTGGCTTCTTCCAATGGCCGTTCATGCTGTTCGTCGTCCTCAGACTCATCGTCGCTGTGGAATTCGAACCTGTCCACAGTATTGGAGATCCATTTCAGAGCGCACGATGGAAGTGAGTTGCCATTGGGGTTTCCCAGACCCTCCGCCCAGACGTGCGAAATGGCGACGAAATTCCTCCCTTTTCCGCTCTCGATGATTCGAAATTTTGGCTCGACATCAGTAGCCTCTATAAACCTCGTGGTGTGCGGGCCATCGGATTCTTTTGATGGCCCCTCAAGCATCTCGAGCTGGATCACTTCTTGGATGAGGGGAATCTCATCGCCCTGTAGAGCATTGATGACACCTCGAGGGTCGGAGAACTCTGAGCTGCATTGACAGTCCTAGGAAGCATGCCTCGTTCGGTATGAGGGATCAATAGTCATCGACGTACAGACGTCCTTTGTGCAGAGCGAGTGGTCCATGTTTGGCCTAGGAGGCGGCAGATGGGCCATGTAGTAGAATAATGTCGCCGAGGTTGCCGACTTGTCGACTCTGTCGATGTCGAATGGGCACCAGCCCTTCTTCGCCATCTCATCCACTAGAAATTGTCTGAAGGTAGGGTTACCCTGGGCCCGCCAAGTCACACTCTGGTCGTCAATACCCTCGTCTTCTTCTCCGATGAAATGGTTTGTGTGTATGCGGTTAAGTGTCTCACTGAGGATAGCAATAGAAAGCCATATCCGGTCATCTACCTCCTTGTTTCGATAGACCGACTTGGTGTTGAGTGAGATCTTGCCTAGGGTTGTGTAAGTAGACAGATGTCATGCATTTCTACCTGAAGACCCATTGGCAGTGGATGTGGCCATAGAACTTTTGTGTCTCGCACACCTCTCACAAAGGCACACTTTGGAAGTCTCTGACAAAAGAATATCTCATGTAGGGTACTGACCGACGAAGTGATTCAACTGGGAGACGCCCTGTAGTGCCGCTGAACCCTCTGATCCATAAGGCGGGGAGTCTCCCTTCCAACGCTTGAAAAGCACCTCGACACAACTCTGTAGAGGGGCGGTAGTCACCACAGGCTTGCCATGGGTGCTTTTTGTCACAAAAGACTTGATGTCGGCAAAGTCGCCGAACAGCTCGTGCAGGAAACCGAAGTAAAGCCATGTCTGGATGAAAGCGTCCAGTTTGGCGTTGGTTGGCTTGACACCATTCTCGTCTAGGTATCTGATACCATATGGTGAATATTTGACCTTCCAGCCACGGCGAACCGGATACTCGAGCATTGGCCCTCCATCGTAATCGATTGTGCAGCTGTAGGGAACCTCGACAGGGTCCAGGGGAGAGTTCTTGGGTAGAGGTAGGTGGTCCATCTCCAATGAGTGGAAAACGTAAAGCAGAAGTAAGTGATGCTAGAACACCATGAGTCAGTCAGCTGTGACCAGAGAAGTATAAGTATTTACTTAAGGCCCAGTGTCGACTCCAGAGTTGGTGGGGCATGCGGCTGAGAGATTTAGTGCTGACAAGGCGGAACGGCATCCTTGTTCTACAATTTTCCGGGCCATATGGGGCTATCTAGCAATGTTTCTCAGTTGTAGAAGAAACCAAAAGTGACGTTTGATGTTGTACTCAGGTATGTGTTCACTTGTTATCAACGTCAGAGGGGAAACTTAGAATGCATCTTTGCTGAGCATGTTTTGGCACAAACCATGTTTGGTATCTGGTGGATTCGTATATTTCCTTCATAATTATAAAATGACCGCTTTTTATGGGACGTGACTCTTAACATTACATCAATGCCGCCCTGCAGCTTCATGTTTTAATAAATATACCTGAAGCCGTCAACACCCTCGATGATGCCCTTGCCAGCTCTTGCCCTTCTGTTCGCCCTCCAGAACAAGCCACCGCATAGTCCGATAATCGCGATCATCAGAATGTGGCTCCCTATACTGATCCAGATCGCTGTCGGGTACCATGGGGCCTCCGAGGCCCTGAATATATATGATCCTGCAATCCCACCAAGTGCATTGCAACCACTCACTGTCGCGACCACCGTGGCGCGCTTCCACTGGCCTGTGATGTTGTTCATCTGATAAGCGTTCAATGCAGCCCAGTTTGACACGTAGGCGCCCGTGGCAAACAGCACGCCGACATAGCGCACGGCGACATTGCTTGGGAATCCGAGCATGGACATGCCTACGATGAGACACACGGCATTGAAGATGATTATCGGGCCGCGAAGTGCAATGCGATCGGCGATGAATGATGTGATGATGACCGGTATGACTGCATAGTAGTACGGCGGCGCATACAGCAAGATCGACGTACTCGATGTGAATCCCATTCCGATGAGGATCGTGGGAATGAAATAGGACAAGGCGGTCGAGACAACATTTTGGAGGAAAAACAAGATGCTGAAGGCGTATATCTTGATATCCAAGAACGGTTTGAGGATCGCTGAGAGTGTAAAGGGCTCAGGGGCTCCGGCATCTTTGCTTTCCCTGTCTAAAGTTGCAATAACTTCGTCTGCTTCGGCCTGGGTGAGAAACCAGCGTGTTTTGGAGATCTTCTCTGGGAAATGTGGCACCCAGAGATAGGTCACGACACCAATGAACATGGTAATGGCCCCTTGGACGATAAACATCCACTGCCACCCTCTTAATCCGTGAGAGTGATCCAGGAAATTGAGGCCGTAGTTGACGATGCTGCCAGTGGCCACGATGATAACTTGCCCAGACTGCAGGTAGGCAAAGCGAAGCTGCTGTTCCTTGCGCGGATACCACGAGGCGATCAGATATGCCAGTCCAGGATAGATACCAGACATGGCCAAGCCCATCAGGAAGCGCAGAGCAATCATCTGCCTCCAGTCGGCGACGTATGCCATACACAGGGTGATGAGCCCGAAGAGGATGGTCACGAAGGTGAAGAAGATGGGCGGCCCAACGAATCGCATCGCTATGGTTGCAGGCAGCTTGAAGACCACCTGAGCAAGGGTGACGATCCACACTGCCGTCGAGTAGCGGCCGCCGACCAGGCCGATGTCCTGGGGCATGGAGGTGGCCGAGGCACTTGACATAATGCCGCTGTCGAGGGCACACAGGATGCCCGCAATGGTGCACAGCCTCAGATCGATCTTGCGCACGATGCGCTTGTCCAGCTCTGGGTGCTGCTGGTCGTCGATAAGCACGCCGCCATCGCTGATTGTTGAGGCGGACGACTGGGGCTCGCAGTCATCGGCGGCGTCGGTCACGGCAGCTCGGGAGACGGGGGTCTCCTCGTCGACTTTGGCGTCCATGGCGGTTGAGGGTGCACGCCAAAGACAGTCAGGTGCGGCAATGCATGTTCAGATGTGCAAATTGGTGTTGAGAGAAGAGGAGGCGTTGAAGCTTTTCAGTGGAAATGTGTTTTCGTTGACGCTTGCATGGTGCATGCTGCATGCTTGTATAAGCAAAGCAACGATAACTCAGTTTCCGTCAGCTACCGGGAGGGGATTGATAATGATGGGGAGGGGGAGGGGGATCCATGCTGAAAATTTCGGGCGATGTCGCCATTGGACCCGGCTGCCGGCAAATCGATCTAGATTCTATCCCTCGGGTCGAACAAGGGAGGAGATCTGTTCAACAGTGTGCCTCCTATATGATCCCGTTTAGCCGTGTACTCGCTGTCTGACGATCAATTTGTGGTTGGGGCAGTCTCACCGGCCAGCTGTTGGTTGAGCCGGATCATCACAGTCACTCTGAGTCGCGTGTAAGATGGGGGTGGGGTGGGGTGCTGTCAATATTCAGGGTCTGCTTGGACCCTTGCGGAAGTACTTTGTACCCTTTGGTCGGTTGGTCCGTCAAGCGCGTCTTGGATGAGGCGACGCGTCCTTCGCTTTGTGGTTGCAGGCAGCGACGACCTCATGTGCTTCCTGCCTCACCTTTTATTTAGCGCCACTGCCTGCATTCTTCCAGTTCGGGAAGCCCCGAATCGGCATGGTATCTCGAATTACACCGCCTTCGTCGTCGCCGACTCAGCCTGACCGTGTGCAGCCATACGCAGCCGGGCCGTTCGACTGTCAGCAAAATGACTGGCCCGGCTCTTCTGCACCCCCGCCAAAACGGCGACGCAAAGACTCCCCTGTGGCCGGCGAGCCGGAGGTCATTGGCTTGTTGAGTAGTGATGACCTCACACCAGGTCTGGCAAACCGCCAGCCTAGCCAGCCTCAGCACTCGGAGCCAGCGCCAGTGCTGCAGCAAAATGCAGGTCCTCACGCCCGTCCGTCTCCAGTCAAACAAAGGCCATCCGGCCCTCCGCGGTCGAAGCCGCGAGCCTCGAACCCTGCCAAAGCCCTGGCCAAGGCTGCTGCCAATGGGCAAACCGAGGCAGCACCACCCGCCGGGCCTCAAGCTCCAGAGGTAGTTTGCGAGCCACCCCCGACCACCAGTCACCATGGCCCTCAAAGTGGCTGGGCTGTTGCCCCCTCCGCACCACACCCTCCTGACAGGCAACAAAGCTGGCAGCCGCCATTACCTGGCATTGTGCCCCCTCCTCCCTTTCAGCCGGTCTGGAACACCCCAGCGCCACCTGTGTATCCGCAAGAGGACCCTTGGACGAATCCCAGCAATGTTGACCTGTATCCGATGAACCCCTTTTTCCAGCATTGGTACCCTGGGGGACAGCCATTCTTGCAGCCTCAAGAGCAGCCGTGGTCCCGGCAGCCGAGGTATGCTTATGATATGCCTGCTCAAACGAACACGTTCGTCAGTTACACCTCACCTGTGTACCCGATGCCAGTTGACGGGACTGCTGAACGGCCTATCTTGTTGGATGATGAACCGATCCAGGCATTTCATGTCCCTTGAGTCACCACCTACGCTCCTCAAACACCCCAGCTCATGCATTCTCCTGCGAAATTGACGAGCGGAGACAAGGAGAATACGTATTCTAGCGAATTGGCGGCGAATGGGGTCGCACATCCTCACACAGGCTTCCCAAAAGCTGCTGCCCGGCAGTACAGCACATCGGCTCAAGCGGCCCAGGCTCAAGCCAAGAAACCAAAGCCTAGCAAGACCAGTAAACCGAAGCTAGAGCCGCCCCCAGATGAACCCGATTTATGTCCTGAGCAGGCTGAGTTGGTGTCCCTGATTGAGCAGGGCCACAATGTCTTCTACACTGGCTCCGCTGGCTGTGGGAAGTCCACTGTTCTCAAGGCTTTCGTCAAACGACTACAAGACAGCGGGAAGCATGTCCGCATCATAGCTCCTACCGGCAGGGCGGCACTTAATGTCGGGGGTTCTACCACGTGGACCTTTGCAGGCTGGACACCCAATTCTCACAAACTCCCGATAGACAGGATAAAGCAAGGAGCGCATGGAAAGAGCGTGTACGAACGGCTTACGAATATTGATGTCCTGGTCATCGACGAGATCAGCATGGTGGAAAATCTGCATCTCGAAAGACTCAACATTCTCATGAAGACGGCCCGATACAACCCGAGCTTGCCTGTACAGCCAGCCTTCGGGGGCTGCCAAATTGTCGTCACTGGTGATTTTTGCCAGCTACCGCCTGTGAAACCGTTTCAACATTGCCTTGAATGCGGCAGAGAGATGACGACCAAAGTTAACGACATCGCGAAATTGACCCATGTTTGCAGGCTCCACGGCGAGTATGCAGACGAGGACAAGTGGGCTTTTAGGAGCAACGCCTGGGGAGAATGCAACTTTGTGCATTTTCACCTCAAAACAATCCATCGCCAGAACGACCAAAAGTTCATCCGGATGCTGCAAATGTGTCGGTTGGGACACAAGATGAAAGAGTCAGAAATATCACTACTCATGGACCACAAGTGTCGAGTCTCGCAGGCCACAAAGCTCTACTCAACCCGCCGAGAAGCAAATGACGTCAATCGAGCGGCCTTCAACTAACTCAAAGGCGTCAAGTCTGTGTATTGGTGTCACGACAGTTTCCTCTGGAGGCAGTGCCACCCTCATCTACAACGAAAGGGCACGTCTGGTGACTGGAGCAACGAATCGGAGATAGCGTCTCCGCCCGAGACGAAGCGGCCCCTGTACGCACTGGAAGACCACCGCTGGGCCAAGTGCGTCCAGCTCAAACGAGGCATGTTAGTAGTCCTCCTGACGAACCTCGATCTGGAGGCAGGACTTTGCAACGGTTCGCAAGGCGTCATCTGCAGCTTCGAGAACTACGACCCGAAGATGATGCCGATGAAGGAGACGTACGACTCCCGCGGCAGGAGGAAGGTTGAGCCGCAGCCGGGCCAGAGGGTAGTCAGGGGCGACCACGCTGCCCTCCAGGAGAGTGAGGTCAAGAACTTCATCACGAGCGAGTCGGCACCGGTTAAGAAGTGGCCCGTGGTGCGGCCTGCTCGCCCGCACACAGATCCCTCTGGCCCCGGCATGGGCCATGACGATCCACAAGTCCCAGAGCCTGACGCTCGACCGCGTCATTGTGAACCTCAGCAGGGCGTTCGAGGACGGCCAGGTGTATGTCGCACTGTCGAGGGCGACAGGCCTCAGCGGTCTGAAGATTGAGGGCGACGGGAATTTCCTGAGGAGCAAGCTCATGGTGAATTCTGAAGTGGCAGCTTTCTTGAAGGAGAGGTTTGGGGATATCTACGACGCGACGGAGTCCGAGGACGAAGAGGCCCCGCCTGGATAGTATTTGCATTATCCAATTGGGGAAGAAAATAACTCTCAGCGGGATCAGCAGAGCGTAATGCTTTGGTTGTTCTCCATCTGGGAATTTTTCTGGCGTATATCACAGTTGGGTTTGGGCAACGGAACCAAGCGGACAACTGACCATACTCAAGGGCTCGGTCAAGGTCTTGACCGATACCTTGCAGAAAGGCCCAAATCGAATAAGATTAATGATTAGGAGGCTAGAGATTGCCCTAGTCCCTGCTTGAACATCTTATATAAGGTGTGTTGGTGAGCTCATCTAAACAACGACGACCCGAACCAACCATGCCTGAATAGCTAGCTCTGCCACACGCCTGTCTCTAGCAATGCTACTGGTCATGAGCTCCCGCAAGCTTTTACTGGAGGGCACATGCAAATACAGGTCACACCGGCCTCAAATGTGCCAGGTATCGGCATTGACATGTTCCAGGGCCCGGGACCAATGCTCCCTGTGGGCGAATTGGGCGGCGGAGGACTCGGTGGAGGACCGTTGGATGGCTGGGCGTTCGGTGGTGGAGGATTCGGCGCCGGAGGATTGAGCGACGGAGGGGCCGGTGACGGTGAACTCAACGGCATAGGCATGGACGGGACGGGATTCGGTGGCGGTGAAGCCACCGGGGCAGATGACGACGTGGGGCCCGTACTCGTGCTGCTCCCATTGTAAACCGTGACTCCCCTCTGGAGCGCCATGTTGAGTGCGCTGATGCCCTCGAGAGCGAGGCTCGAAGCCCCCGGGTCGACCTTGCTGGCGAGGGTAGACGCGAGGGCCAGGGCGGCGCCCTGGATGTTTTGGAGCTGGAGTGAAACAACCTTCTCCAGGCCGAGGCGGTTGAAGAGGGGCTTCTGGTTGATGAGGTCCGTGACGGTGACGTTCACGTTGGACACGAGGCTGTCGGTCGTGGCCTTGAGGTTGGACGTGTCGGCTGGGCCCAGTGGCTGCGATGCGTTGATAGATGATGTTGCCTGCTGGATTGACTCGAGTACATTGATGCTGCTGAAGAGGACCTTTGGGTTTGCGGGGTCGTTGAGAATGGCGCTGTCTAGGCTCGCGAGGGCGGTGTTTACGCCTCCGAGAGAAGCTTGGATCGATCCCAAGTCTCGTCTCATGTCTTGTTCAGTGCCCGTCGTGGCTACGACGTTGCAGCAGCTCGTTGCGGCGAGCAGCAGGCACGTGGTGAGAAACATTTGGGCTGGAACTCATGGGAGGGCATTTGGGAAAAAAGCACGCCCAATATCACGCAGTCATCATGGCGGAGAGCAGTGAGAAGTGAATGGTGGTCAGAGCTTCACTACACGTCTGGACTTGATCGGGTCGGAAGGACAATATCTACAAGATAAGCATGGCGCCCGACTAGTTGCCGCGAAACGCCGTTTGTCCAAACGACAATCAGACATCCAGGACGAACAGCGGGCTTGGTCTCTGTCTGAAGAGATTAGATGGACTAGGCCTTATTCGCAGAAAGTAACCCAAAGAGGCAACCGTCCATCTGGACATCCGTCTGGACGTTGGGCAAACGCAATGGGAAGACATCAGGCGAGACGACAAAAGTGGACCGTGATGTGATGAGATCCCCATTGTGCACATATGCCCGCAATCTCGGAGTGTTCCGAGTCCCGAATAGGCAGTGGTAATGAGATCCAGCTTGCCACATATCATAAGATCTGGCGATATACGTGGGCTCGATTCGATTACCTATCCGGTGTGCTGATGTGATGATTGCAACGCAACCATGCGGCTCTAAGTTGCCTTTGCGGATCCTGAAGAGTCCGCAGGTAAGCTGCAAGCAAGGGTCTATTGCTGCAGGGGGGGTGGCTGGTCTCAGATCGGCACGAGCAGAAGCTCACGGCATAAGACTCGCACTACTTGGCTACACGTCCTGAGATGTTTTCGAAACCCCAGAAACTCAACGCCGAGAGGGCCGAGTCATAGGCAGGGAAACGTAACGTTTCGGCAGGTGGAGGAAGAGAAACGACACAAGCCTGGGCAGTCCAAAGACACCTCCCATCCATCACGTCACGCAAAAGTTAAAAGACCTCTTGGGGGCCGGGCAGTTGGCAGATCGATGGGAGGCTGCCCAAACACATGGGGACCTGGTTGTCGGGTCCCCTTCCGCCAAGCTCGATGTGACCGCACGCCGCGGCCAGGGGCTCCCGCACTCTGGGGTGGGTGGTAGTGTGACCGCCTGGCACATGTGATACACTCCATATCATGCATTGACATGGATTTCAACATTGCATAACATCCAGGCCGCCTCGGCGCGCGCGCAAACTGAGGAATCGAGCAGAGTCTATTGAGAGCAACGGCCCGAGGGGAAAACAAAGTCCTAGTGCCAGAAAGGCTTCTTAGTCGTAACGTCGAGGCTGATCCACAAGACGTTGAGAATTGAGCCCTACAGCGACCATTGGCCCAGGACTTGTTTCCAGGTGTTAGTTTACGACAGAAACAATTTGCAGGTTACTTAGCTCTGCAGGTAAATGTTTCAACTTTGCTCACATGAAAGGCAGACAAGACTTGGTGGGTGCATGTGATGTTGGGTATATGATTAAGCTCCTGTCCCTGTCCTCTATAATACACAAGTGATGAATTCCACTTCCTCTAGACGCACTGCATTAGGGCTGCATTAATATTGTGGTTATTGGTGGGGTGGGATTCGGCCTTTCAGTCCCAAGATCTGTCCGGAAACGTTTGTTCAGGCCCGTGGTGGCGGTTTGACCGCTCAAAGCGATCACCAGATGTGCATGTGTAATCATGCGGATCCGATATTACCGGTCTTTCCCAGCGGAAAAGTCCCAGTACTGGATGCCGTCATAGGACTCCGACTGTCCATCCAATCGTTTTTGGTGTAATACCGCCCGTCATGCCCGGTAGGTGTCAGAATGGGATTCAAACGCAACGGCGATTCCCTCAGCTTGGGCTTCAACGTCATCGGCGCCTCCCATTTTTCGGCCTGTGATGGTTGGGGTGATGATCGTCCGTTCGAGGATGGCATTTTGCCGAAGAGCAAGTCAATCCTCGCAGCCGCGTAGAGGACGATGATCGAAACACTCATTCCGAAGCCTGTGATGTAGTACACGGGTCTTGATAATATTCCGGTGGAGACCTGGTCCGTCGGTTGCCAAATGGTGAAAGTCGAGGCGAAACGTGATATTTGGCTCGTCATCGTCAATACTCCGGCGCCGATGAAATACACTGTCATTCTGGCAGTATATTCCTCGACTCGTGAGCGGTTGGCGGCGGAGCTAGCTGCCACGACGACAACCAAAAAGATGAAGCCAGTGATCATAAGAAGACCTGTACTGGCCCCCAAGAGTCTTGCTCCTGACTGTTCAATCTCGCCTGCATTTCTGTTGAATTCGTGCAGGCCAGCCCCGATGACATGCAGAAGTATGACAAGAGAGCACGCGATGGCCATAGCATATGTGACGACGGAGGCAATGATGCTCCTTGTCCAGAGCGAAGAGCGCAGGTCAAACAAACGGACCAAGCGTTTTGTGAGGAGAAAGTTCACTGTGAACAAACTGACGCTGCTGTAAAGTTTTCTCCGTCAGCTTGGGCAACCAAACAACCACCCGCATTGGAGCACTAGCAGAGACACAGAAGACTTACCCGATGCTCTCGGAAACCAGGGCAAGAAAAATGACCACTGGCATGTCTGTGCTGGCCCAGGCGTTGCGAAAAACACACAACAAGGCTTCAGCGAGACAGAAGCCGATCATCAGCGCCGAGAGTTTGTCTCCATTGCTTCCTTTGGTAGGTCGCTTGGCATTCTTCCAGTACATCCACCCATAAACGAGGGCCCCGATAACAAAAAGTACCATAAAGATGCCGGTGACAGCTGCATCAGGATTCGGTTTCGGGATGCCGCCAAAATAATTATCTTCTGCGATTTCGACTGCGCTCGCTGCTGCCTGAGTCGGACGAGTTGTTGTAGGTCGAAAGGACGTGGCTGGTGGAGTAGTGGATGAGATTTCTATTGACGACGGCAAAACTGCTGGTGGGAGCAGAGCTGACGATGAGGGAACGGCGATAGTCGAGGGACTCGGCGTGAAAATCGGGCCCGGTTGCTGAGGAGGGTTTGGTGCATTTGGTGAAGGACTCGGCGGGAGAATCGACGACGGCGTGGTAGATGAAGTCAACAAAGTCGTTGCTGCCACTGTCGGCAACGCGGTGATAAATGCAGGATTCTGTCGTTGAACCAGTTGCTCCGCCCCCACGTATTCGAAAGTCAGAAAAGCCATCAGGGAGGCTATCCCTTGCTGAAGGCCGAGGCGCTTCATGGCTACTCTTTTCCCGAAGCCTAGAGCTGTCAGATTCAAGAAAAGGAAGCGTCGGGTGTGTCCAGCTTCAAGTACATGGCATGTGATGTTTTGAGGACATGTCAAAATCCGCCGGGCTTGTCGACGGCTTTGTGAACTTGGAGCTCATTTTCTGAATCAGGGGAATCGAGGCCAGTAGAGGCATCTGCCAACTTGTCAGCGGGACTGCTTTTAGGTCGTCAAGGTGGGAGCAACCCCAAGCAGTCACGGCGGTGCCCAAACATGCACACAGCATCCCTTGGTGTCGCATCGCACCGGGGCTGGGCCAGGGTCACATTCTCCATGCGATATCAACCTTGCCAGAGCTCCGGATGCAGCCGGCGTCGGATTCGATGCCTGCGACTTGGCGCCGCTGCCCCAGATGCTTGTAGGTCATTCATGCGTGTGCGCGGCGACGGCATGCCAAGATGGCCCTGAATTGCCGGTCTGTGACCGGATAATCCCAAAGCTGCTCGGTCTCCGGCTAAGGGTGTTAGCTCTATTGACACATAATTGGTGGTAATTTCCCGAATATATGGCTGTAATTGAACTATTGCAGGCCGGCCCTGATCCTGTGCTGCCTAGCTATGTGTCAAAACCTGTGCAGCCCTCCTGCATATCATCGATGGCTCTTCCATGCTGAAACAGAAGCACGAGAGGCTAACCCCCTTCACGGAATTCCTACGAGACCCTGTAACAGAGAGCGTGTATATGACTGGGTTCATTTGATATCTTGGGAATATCAGCATCTTCACAGTACCAATAATTGTTGCTTGTAGATAGCCCTATATACGCGGAAGGGAAAGAGACGCTCCTTTGCATGCCACAGGAGGCTCAATGTTGCATTTCATTCTCGGATTTGGCAGCCTCCAGCCTGGATTTGAAACGAAAACATCGCGACGCGTTGGACGGTCGCTTCAATACATAAGCAGGTCCACAAGCAGGTCAGGTGTTGCACAATTATCAACCAATTGCAAGCGGTCCGGATCCCCGACGTGGCTTGAGATGAATCGACCCATACGATGCAAACAGTCCCAAAAGTCCAGCTGAAAAAACACAGCATACATGAAATTTGAATTGCATGTCTGTTATACGAGCCTTGTGTTGGAGAAGGATTCTTGCACATTGGTTTTCGGGCTTCATGCCTCGTCTTGACACAATTTCCAGTCTGGTTAGAAAGGGTGATGGCAAATTATGCACTCTTACCGGAGTTCCCATGGACAAATGCCCCGGATTACCACTATTTCTTGTTCATGATTAATTCGAAAGACTCTTCTGCCAACAGGATCGATGCCAGGTCAGAAGATGCGTTGCAGGGGACGGAAGTCAGGCCTTTCCACCCGTTCGTGGCAGATACACTCCCTCTATATCTAATGAGAATTCCTAGAAAAGTACTTACTCGGCAACACAGCCGACATTAATAAGCAAATATACCCTGATCCCCGTCCAATTACGAATGTTCGCCCTACAAGGCAGAGACCTGTCAACGTTTGGCATGACGGCTCAGCGTCAAGTTTCAAGGTTTCATAATTGCGGTGGCAAGGGTCCACGAATATATGTGCGATATACAAATATCACAAATTAATGCCGGACTCGTATGTATGGGAAATCTTGGTTGGCGTTTCAAGAGCTCACCACTGCGGAGATGATCATTGTGAAACCAATTCATGTTCCCAAAGTCCATGTTCTCGGTCGGCGTTGTCGTGCGTAGGATGAAATGCAATATTTCCATGCTGACCCAGAAGTAGGGTGTTGTCAACTCGGCATTTCAGCTTCCCGGAAGCAGGTCAGATATTGGTACTCCAAGAACCAGATGCATGACAATGCTGCTCGTACGACGCCACCTGACTCAGACTCAGAACACAATGCCACGACGTCAGGCGTTCCTGTTTGGAAACTCTGCCAAAGAATTGGGTATGTGATCCAATCATCCAGCCGTACCTAGGTAGTCCAGTCATCGGCACAACGTGCGAAGATCTTGGTTCTGTCATGCGGGTGCCGGGATCAGAGATCGATCATCACACAGGACTCGCCACACCCGCCAATCGTTCGTCTCACTTCTGAGCAAATCGGAGAATATTCGAGCTGCTCCCGCTAATGCAAGCGCGCCAGATGAATATAGCCTGTTGATGAATGTTTGAATTGGAATTATCAACCGAATTTCTATGAACGCTGCAGTAATCGCAGAAGAGGGTCCAGCGCGGCACAGACAACCCAGGAAAGACATGAAACCCTTATTTGATTTTCTCCTGCTCCTCAAGACCATATACAGCACAATATGCTTTGGAAGGTCGCTAAGTCAGAAAAACAAGAAGAGCTCTTGTCGAGGGAAGCAAAATTTGTGATCAAGCTACCTATTTGAACCAGCTAATCAGGTCGGACTTTTCCGCTGGTTATCCTCAGAATCTGGTTTCCATCCCTGAGACAAAATCATGCACGTGGAGAGTAATAGGACGTTGAAAGATCACAGGAATTAAAGCACGTCTGCATGGATTTCGTCTCAAACATCGCTACACGAAATTGGACGACGGTGATGTGCCCCCAGATCCCCTTGGGCTCAGCAGTCGCTCGGCCACCATTGGCTCATTCGGGCTTGCAATCAGATGAAAACCTGGTCTTTTGAAAAGTCTAAGTCGGTGACAATTCCTGCGACAAAGCTGGGTTGAGGCATGATATGGTCTTGCTTCATCCCCAGCACTGGTTCTCAATTACCAACCGGATTCTGTGCCGGTGATTATGTCTGATGATTGAGGCTCTTCTACTGGCAGCCGAGGGAAGGTGCACAATTCGCCTTGAAAATCTCAACGACTCCGTCTCAGATTATACGACATTCACATTCTGAATGCCAACAACATGAGTTTCAAACAAGTCTCATTGCCTAATTCTGCTGCATTATGGCCACTCATCTACGGCGGAACGTTTGTATTAGCTCTCCCGAGGTAAGCTCTATTCCGCTGCGCTTTTTTCCAGTGCTTCACTCCCTCTTGTTTGCTAGCTTTCCTGTTCTCTGCCTAATTTCCAGTTATGAACTACATGCTGCCCTGTTGACCAGATCTTGGTTATGGATTCTAATTTGCATACGGTAGCACTGGAAGACTGAATGAGTTCCGCCCCGAGAAATCAAACTGGCAGGATTATATCATAGCCCATCGAGCCCCAATTTTGAAAAATGACTTGCCATGAAGAGCAGCATAGTATGTACTATGGACAGGAAGCCGACCGACGAGGCGTGGCGTCGCATAGCAATTGCCTATGGCATGGTGCCAAGCAATGCGCAAGGGCATTTGACATCGAAGACTGAAGCTCACCACCAGGGCTGGGGCATGTCAACGATCCAATGGAGTATTTTCATCTGTGATGTTTGGAATTGACTAGACCAAGTCACCGCTGATGCTCCACTTACGTGCTGTGGCGGCGAATCTGCCGACAGTAGTAACATTGAATAGTCTGGACCCGATCGGCTAGGAACTAACCCCGCATGCTTCTCGGGCTGATGTCTGTCGGGCAACCATCGTAGCACCGGACTCGGACAGACTGGCAACAGGCTGTGAGAGAGAGAGAGAGAGAGAGAGAGCAAAAGAGAGACAGTACAATATTGAATTCCTACTCACATCAATTGAAATCTGCTGCTCACCACGATCACAATGAGCACCGAGAGCAAGACAATACTCATCACCGGAGCTGCAGGCTTCATCGGCCAGCGCCTCACGGCTGCTCTCCTCGCCAAACACCCCGAATACCGGCTCGTCATCACAGACATCGTGGCCCCGTCCATCCCACCAGGCATGCAGAATGCAGACAAAGCAGTCCCCATCCAAGCCGACCTAAGCGACCCGGCCTCACTCGCAAGTCTGATCGCCGCGTCGCAACCCCTGGAAGCCGTCTTTGTTTTTCACGGGATCATGTCCTCCGGCTCCGAGGCCGACCCGAGCCTGAGCCTCAAGGTAAACCTCGACGCGACGCGTGCGCTGCTGCTCAAGCTGTCGGAGACGAACAGGGGCGTCCGCGTCGTCTACGCGTCCAGCCAGGCTGTCTACGGCTCGCCGCTACCCGATGTCATCACGGACGCGGTGACGCCGACGCCTGCAGGCGTGTACGGCACGCACAAGCTCATGACCGAGGCGTTCATCAACGACCTGCACCGCCGGGGCCTCATCGACGCCTTCTCGCTGCGCTTCCCCACCGTTTCCGTCCGCGCGGGCAAGCCGACGCAGGCGGCGAGCTCGTTCCTGTCGGGCATCATCCGCGAGCCCATGAACGACCAGGAGTGCGTCGTCCCCATCAAGGACCGGAGCTACCGGGCGGTGCTGTCCGGGCCGGGGACCCTGATCGAGAACCTGCTGCGGGTCCTGAAGCTGCCGAGCGACTCCCTGCCGCCTCATATCCGCTGGATGAACTTCCCTGGTATCTCGGTGACCGTGCAGGAGCTGCTGGACTCGTTGGCAAAGGTTGGCGGGCAGGACCGGCTCAAGTATATCAAGGAGGAGACAGACGTCGAGATGGAGAGAATACTGAGGACCTGGCCTTTGAGGATAGACGATTCGACCGCTGTGGATCTCGGACTAAAGCGAGATGAGAGCGCAGAGAGCCTGGTCAGGGAGTATGCCGAGTCGATTGGGAAGTAGTATCATGTATAGCATCAGCTCTTTTGGGCAGAATATGTACATTTTGAACCCATTATATACATCTAAATGACAAACACTACATTGCATATCGCCCTCAAGAGTGCTCCATTTACAGGCATTGAGAGTAGTAGCTGTTAGCAGCCTTGCAGGTTCCTGAAGAGCAGCAGGTCGCGCCAGACCACCCCTGACCACCACATTGGCCGTACAGGGAGGCACAGTTTGTTCCACCGCCTGGGGCAGTCGGTGTTGTCGCTGGGGCGGAAGTTGTGGTGCCAGAGGAACCACCACCGCTGCTGCTGAGCTTGCTCTTGACAAAAGCAAGGGCTTGGGATCCGTACTCAGAGCCGTAGCCATTATTGCTGCGTTGTTTCCATTGCAGCAGTAGGGATCTGGGCCATCGCAGTAGCTCTGAACCTTCGAGGCAGATGGGCATTGGAAGCTGGACGACCGCGCATCGAACTGTCCAAGTCGTTAGTGCATCGTTCCTGAGACTAATATGTGGGTTGGAGTGGCTTACTCCTCCGGCTCTGCAGGTCCCAACTCCGTACGATAGACCATACACATACGTCGGGGCTCCCATCAAAATTGCTGCTTTGACCTGCCCGACCGCGCCAGCAGAGAACTGTACCGCAGTGTTCGTGTATCCCTGGTTCGGGTCGCCACCTCCGCAGAAGGCCACGTCAAATATTTCTGCACCCTGGATGGTCTTAGCATGCATGCCATAATAGTGAACGGTGAGACAATTTACCTGAGAGTACCCAGCCAGCACGATCTGAGTGTTGGGGCACCGTGTGTAGAAGCTGTTGACCGCACTCGCCGCGGCCGCGATACCCTGCTGGACGGAGCTCGAGTAGCTGGCTCCGCCGCATGAGGCCTGCCCACCACAGGCAGGATAGTTGATAGCCTCGGCCGTAGAGCCCGGGTAGGCTGAGAGAACCGCGTTCACGACGGATGCCGAGCTGCCGTATCCGGGGCTTGCCGTGGTCTCGCGTGCTCCGAAGATGTGGATGCTGGGACAGGACTGGCGCTCTTCCAGGAGTCCCTCACCCTCGATGGGCGAGGCACTGCTCATTAGGCCATAGCCTGTGAGCAGGAGGTAGGCAGTCTTGGGATTGGGCCACATTTTGATGGTGATGGCGGGTTCCCCGAAAATGATGTTGATGTACTATGGCGTTATGATCGTCGTGGAACAATGTGATGCCTCGCCAGCCCTGCTTACGGGGCTTTTGGGTGCTATATATCCTCGACAAGACTTCCCCGCCGGTGATTGTTTCTTTCTGGTATCACTTTAAATATTGCTTGGGGCAACTGGGTCCCGAACGCAACCGCACACCCCACGACGTGGACACCCGAGACCAAACCTTGGAACAGCTGACATCGGTATTGCTCCACCGTCCCAATGGAGCCCACACCAGCGCCTTTGTCATACTTTCCATTGAACCGAAAGATATGAGCCTGAATCTCAAGCACGCCTCTAGCCTTCTGGTACACTGCGACAAAATTCGCATGCCAGGACATTGCTGTTTTCCGCCAAGTCTTCGCATGCACCATCTGCACAAGCGCGATGTGACGTGGCTGAGGAGACCGTCAGGTGGCTTGCCAGAAGTAAACCGGCTCGTAAAGTTAAGACACAGCAAGCAAATGGGAGATTGCACAGGTGTGGCAAGGCTTTTCGCAGTTGCCATCCCTTTTGGTGCAACTCGAGATAGAGACATCAGCTGGGCATGGACCGCGGCAGGGGAACGTGGAATTTAGGCTTAATTCCCCAGAACAATCCTAGCTCGCGGGTATGGTTCCGGCTGCCAAATATGGACTGCACTGTCTTAGACTGTCCGAGTCTGGACCCTGAGCCCAGAGCATCACTACGAATCTGGGGTTGCATCTCCGAAACTTTGAATTCTAAGGACATCCATGAACTTGAACTACCAACTGTAACTGTATGGTCCATCTCGGTTCTCCGGCTAAATACGGGTAATTGTGCAAGTACGACAGGGCAGCCGGATGCGGACTCCACTGCGCTGGTCCCCAACAGAGCAAATACAGGTTTAGAAACAAAAACGCAATCCCAAATGAGTGGTTCAATTGTTTCTTTACAACAAGTCCCGTTTCTTGACCAGTCTCGCTAATTGAAAATTGTATCTACAACCGGATTGACAGAGACAAAAATCGAAGATTTGTCTGCCCCATGAATCGAACATGGGTTTCTTCGGCCACAACGAAGTGTACTAACCACTATACTAGGCAGACATAGCACATGAAAACCCATTCAATTTCATAAATGATAATGACTGTATTTTCCTGACAGAACACAAACATCCCACCTTGGATTGCACCTCACAACGCTGATCCTTGACAAAACACAAAGAGAGCATTAGCAAGTCAGGCTTGGGTGACAAGCGTGATGGATCTCAGGTCTAGAATAGATGATTATATTCGCTTGATCTGGAAACCGGTCAACAACCATGCAAGAAAGCAAAGGATCCCAAACGGATCAATGTCTATAGAAGTCATTGAATATTACTCCTGCTACTCTACTTACTGACCATGGGATCAAAGCTGCTAAAATCGCTGAGACTCTTTGTACAAGATGTGTCATGTGTACCTGGGTCTAATACAGCGCAGCCTGGCATACTGTCTACCCATCACAGGACAACAGCATATTGCCAAGATACATGTCCTCAGTCACAAGCCTCTACATGCCACTTTTACAAAGACCTGGAGTTATGGCAACTCTTATCGGTTGCAGACAGATTGGACTAGAAAGCGTCCGGGTTTTATAGATTTAGCATAGAAACATTCCCGGCAACATGCATCCCAGTTTATTGATGCACAGCACTACCTGCACAGTATTGATGATTCCATCCCAAGTAATCGGTGGCCAATACTTCTGTATTCCAGGTGAACAAAGAGTTCCATATCAGCAATTAATGAAATGTTCAAAACATAGTTTTACAGGCAATCTCCTGGCGCAATACTATGTGTGTCTATGGTTGAGCATCCTCACTTATGCTGCTCGTTGGTATGGGCAACACAGGCAGAATGCTATCCAACTTGGAACTAGTTCCATTGAGTTGAAATAACTGAGATATTAATTCAAAGCCTGTATATTGCCAATTTTTGGACGGAAAAAACTTGGCAGTTGCCCCTAGGGATGCTGTAATCAGGAATATGCAAATGGAAGGTGCCCAGGACAGTGCATGAGAGCAGTCACGGGTGATCAATTTAATGGTCAACTGAATCTTTCCTGGCTTGTAAATAGAATCATTGCTATATCCACTGATACTTAGTTTTATGGTGAAAACTTGGAAAGGACTATTGGGCACTCAGCACGGAATCATATGTAATAATTATCTCTGAAGACAAGATTAATCTCTTTACACTCAGAAATAAACACTGCTAACTAAATCTGCAATATCAAGCCCTATAAGGCTTTTAAATGATAATTTGGAGTTGTTCTAATATTCGGTGAAAACTATGCATATTCGCAGGATTGACAGCCACTTTGAAGTGCCTTCCAGTAGAGATTCTAATTAGGTTTGAGGTTGGATTGTGATCAAGCAAGGCAGGTCGCGGCTGCACTGCACTAGGTACATGGTTACGGGACAAAGCCCGCAGGCTTCAAATCTCAAACTAGAACATTGTTGCTCTGCATTAATACGCTTTCAGGAATCAACTTTTGAACAAGCATCACATGACATAAGTACTCTTAACGTACTCAAGGACATCAGGTGATCATACACTTGGAAGCATTGGAGCTTCCTGATGACGCCCCAAGTCACATGAAACAAGGACTGCAAAAGTGATTGGTATATAGTCATGCTTTGGCTCGTATACAGTTATGCCTATGCACTCCAGTGATCTAGATTCCTGCAGACAATCAGACCAAGACTTAGAAGACTACGCAGCACATGATGGAAGATACCTACGGACAAGGGAAGACGAACCAAACTAAGAAATTATCAACGTTTCAGCATGTATTGTTCTCAGCGAGTAATTAATGGTAGCACATCCTATGTGGCTCCGAACACCTAAGGGCTACAATGGATCAAGTTCCAACTGTAAATGCTGACATCATAAGAGCGGAACAAGCAGTCGTGGCTTCTGGGCATGTTTTAATCTTGGGCAACATTGTTCTGAATATCCTGGAGGTAAGTCAACATGCTTAATTTGCCTGCATGTCCACATATAGGTAGTACCAGGCCCCATCTCATCTATCTTTACATATAGATTGTGATCAGAATAAAAAGGAAAGGAAAGGGACAAGTATGAGAGAAAGACACAAGGTCAGTGATTAAGTGTTGTAAAGACAATTTTTTGCAAACTGGCCAGCCTACATGTCTGCACTTCATCATGATACAAACCCGGAGGGCAGAGGATATGACATTCACTATGGGCTCTTCCGGTCCCGAATAATGCCTCCTTGGAAATTTACAGAATTGGTACCGCCGTTTGCGGACAATACCAGCCAGGCATTGGCAAACAATCTTGATCCTCCTTTGTTGCCAATTCCGGGCAGAGGCTTTATTGGCAGTACTCCTCCCCTCTGGACCGACAATGGGATTGCATATGTCTAAAAAGAGTCAGCTCTCCTGAATCGACACAGTACCGCGGAAAGAGAAGATTCTTTTGCGTATTCCATTTTCATTTCTTTTCAAGCTCACCGTGTGCATCTGAATCAGACTTCCCAACATATCTTTCCTTGTCATAGGGCTCAAGTATCCTATTCCTGGTCTCTGGAATGCGTGGTAGAGATGGCACAAGAACAGCCATCTGCCCCAGATTATCCGTATCCAGATGGGGTCACCATTGAGTGGCGGAATGCGACTACACCACCGCCCCAGGGGGACCTGTTCGAGGATGGAGTGCTTCAGATTGACCCAGTAAGTGAGCACCTGCTGTACTCGCTTCCAGAGATTGCAAGTCATGGACGTCCCAACTATGTGAAGCTTTGGGCAGGCGGCCCAACCTGAATAAGCCGCCTGATTAGAGAGCTCTCCTCGTACACATGCCCATTCATACTACCCTTTGGCAACTAAAAAGGCTCGGGCAATGCTGATGGTATCTCAATCAAAGGTAAACACTCATCTGCTCCAGAAAAGAACAACTGCCCGACTCAACTCAACCACCCAGCTGCATTCTCTGAAGAACACAAACCAGGTGTGCTACCGCAATTCGGTGCTCCATTCACTTTTTAGCATTGATTACTTCCTAAACCTCCTCGAATCTGGAAGTTCCATCACGAATAATACTATCCCGCTTTATGGACAGCTGCTCCGAGCAGCAATTGCGTTCCGAGGGGGAGATAAAACGGTCTTTAGAGGGGCAGTTAACAACGCCTGGAAAACCATGACCAACACCCATCCGACGACTTTTAAAGAAGGTCGAAATGAAGGCAAACCTGATAGGAAGTTCGATGCGAATGACGGAGGCCGCCAGGAGGATGTGGGTACTCTATTTGATCACCTGATGTCTCGACTTTGCGAATCGGAATTGAACCGCGATCAACGAGGGTAAGGTGAAGAATAGAATGGGAGCGAAACACAAAGGAATGAAATAACTCACAATATTAATAGATCACCCACAGCGGGCGTCCTGTACAAGCGAGTGTTTGCGCACCGGATGGTCCACAGGCGGGTTTACACTTGTAACTGCCACTTGAAGAGCAGGCCTCCGCCGCACAGGGAACTGAACCCCGAGAAATTTGCAATTGAATTAAACGCCCCCAGAGGAGAGAATTCCTTGATCAACTGTATCTCCAGAGGGATGTACGAGCCAGCAATCAGAGATGCATCGTACCCTCCATGTCCTCAGTGTCGCCGGGACGACGCCCAGCTCACTGGTTCTTTCAAAAAGTTTTACTACTTACCAGAGGTATTTACCGTTAATGTCGCCTATATAACTGGCGGCAAGGCAGACTTTGAGCAGGGGTGGGTGGACCTTCCTCAAACGCTTGATCTATCAAATCTATGTGATAGAGACGAGGACAAGGCTTTGTCGAAATACACACTACGTGCAGTAGTCCTTTGGATCGGCTCTCAAAGGGCAAACGGGAGTACATCTGGACACTACATAAGCTACGTCCGCCGTGGTATGGACGATAATTGGGTCTTCCTCGATGACAACAAACAATATTTCAGTCCGAATAGGAGGCAAATGTTAAATGGAGAGCAGATCGTCGAGAAAGTCAGACTTGCTGACATCACTGCCCGCATCGGGCCGGGAGCGAGAAAACATCGGCCTAGATTGCTGTTCTACACCAGAGACCGGCCGGACTCTTCCAATGACGACGATGATGATGGTGAAGGGATTAGACGCCAGGAGGCTCAGGAGGCTGCGGAACAACGAGCCACCGAAGCCCAGGAAGCGAGAGACAATGGAGCGCTTCAACAGATTGCGACAGATCGGGCGACCAGACGGACGAACGCAGAATCCCACGCTAATAAGCCGATAAATGTACGGCTCAGGCCTACCCGTCACCGCGGAGCCACCCAGGGCGAGGCTCCGCAGCCGCAAGGGCGCTGCAACTGTGGAGGGCCCCGCGCTCAAGCCGGCAGGGGCGGGAGTCATCAAGAGACACCACAAGGCAGCCGTACGGTGGAGCGACGTTCCGGCGAGGGCAGCAGCACGCGAACCGCGGGGCGCGCCTCCATGCGCGGCGGCGCCGGGGAAGAAGAACTCGAAGATTATGAAGAGGAAGAACAAGAGGTCGCGGGGGGTGAAGAACAGGCCGAGGGCGGAGACGCCGGCGCAAATGATAATGGCGGCAGTAGTGATGCTAGTGATGTTACCGTTAATTGGCCTCGAGCGCCTGAAGCACAACAGACTGACGCTCCCGAGGACCTGGAGAATGCTGCAACTTGGCCCTACGAAAGGTTCAGGGTAGCGTTCAAGAACGTGTTTGGCAAAAACCCGCCAGGCAGAAGGCCCCGTGTGGACGAAGGCGGCATAGAGCCAGATCGAGGCACAAATGCTGCGAATCTCATAGACCACTTCGATCGGACGAAGCCGCAGAACTGGGAAGCGGCCGCATTGCAGACGTTGAAGGCGGCGACAGCTGAGCGGCTAGAAAAACTAGAAGCAGCCGCGGAGAAGGCAGGACAGAGCACCGAAGGACTGAAAGATAGAATGCCGAAGGGCGGAAAGTGCTTACCGTACGTCAGATGGCTGACAGCAGACGATCAAGTGATACATGCAGCAGAATTGAGGGGGGCACAAGCGCAACGGAGACGAGATCAGGAGCCACAGCAACGGAGCGGTGCCGAAGACGAAGAAGAAGTGCAACGGAGCAGTGCCAGAGAAGACGAAGAAGAAGAAGAAGAAGGGCCACCGCCCCCTGCCGGTGACCAAGAAGAAGGAGGGCAACCGCCCCCTGCCGATGACGAAGCAGACGAAGAATTGGTGAGAGGAATCACGCAGTTGGAGGAGCTCATCGAGAGACTCGAAAGAAGAGCCTGCGGCTGCCTCAACGGCCAAACGTCGCTGCCCGTGAACGGCATGCGCAACGGGCGAGGGACGCCGCACCGAGCACTGCAGGTCCGCGTGACCATCCCGCGGCAGGGCCAGGACAACCACAGGCAGACCTACTGGATCCCGCTGGCGACAGAACTCGGAAACATGCCGGACATGTTACTCTCAGGCAGGGTGTACGTCAACCGGCCCTCCGGCGACACGCCGACACGCGTGGTCCGCATCGAGCTCAGCGGTCCGGAGGACCCACCGGCCGACCCGGACACAAGCATCGGGTCGGCACGCGCGACCGTCCCGGAATTCATGAACTGGATCGAGTTTGAGGTCGACTTCGAACTCGACGCCAACGACGTCAACATCGAGGCATGGCAGGATGATATGCCGGCTGTTCCTTTCATATCGGTCCGGGAACCTTCCTCGAGCGAGCAGCGTCGACGAGATACGCGTGGTGGTGGCGGCGGTGGTGGCGGCGGTGGTGATCATAACGATGATGACGATGACGATGACGGCGGTGGTGATAATGGGGACGGTCAAGGTGATCGGGGTGATGGTGACAAAGAAGCCCCACCGCCCTCTGGAGGTGAACCGCATGGCGGGATTCCGAAAAACCCCCCTGGCACCAGACCGCCAGGTACGGAAGCTCCCACGGGTGGCGGCAATGAAACCAGAGAAGCCCTTGGCGACAACACTGGCGATCCACCGGGAACGAAAACCGCAGACGATAGCACTACGATCGAAGAGATCGACTTATCAGAGCTGCTAAAGCTGACCGAAAAGACTGGCAATACTCCTACCCAAAGTCAGTCGGGAACAGGAACCGCAAACGATAGCAGCATTGAGGAGATAACTATTGACGTAGGGACAACCACCGCAACGGCCACGGCAGGTACCCAAGCGGGGTTAGACCCGAACCAGCCAGGCGTCGACGAAGACAGCTGGTTCGCTTACGAGCAGAGCCTCCTGGACCAACCCGCCACCGCGACCGGCGGCCACAAGCGCACGGCCGAGGCCGCCGGGATCGACGACGGCGGCGACGGCCAGGGCGGCGACACCTCGCGCAAGAGGGTCGGGGGACACAACAATCCACACGGCGGCCCTCCACCCCCTCCACCCCCTCCACCTGACGATACTCCACCTGACGATTCTTCTTCCCTCGACTTCTCGGGATTAGGGGCTACCGACATGAGCACACCGAAGCAGAAGGCGGATCGCAGGGGGATCAAGGACGTGACCAGGAGTGTCGGTAAGATGAGCATACAGAGCAATAGTTCATGAATGGGCCACGCGGGATTCAACACATGAGCCATTGGTCCAACGACGACGGGGAATGCGACGGGCGCTGATATGCTGAGCAGAGAGGTCTCGGCCTGGTGGCGAGAGGCTCTCTGAAAGATCATCTGGCGCTTTGGGTGGCGGAGGGTGAGGGGTGAGCTGTGCGGGAGTCAGTTGGTGCTCGATATTCTCCATTCACATGTCTTCTGAGTTGTGGTTTGCCGAAAATTCTGACCGACTTTATGAAAGGGGAGTGAGAGTTTGGTAGTTGGATGGATGCGAGGTTGGGTACCATCACACGGCATGATCATTTGCCATTTTATTTCCTTTCTGTTGTATGGTTGGCTGTGAAATATGTCAGAAATACCGTCATTGGAATGAAGTATTAGCAGAAGCCATGAAAATCTACAATCAGGAGCAATTGCTCTGCACCGGGAAGCCCTCCCTACAATGTAGCCAGAAACAAGTCTGCCATTGTCTCATCACGAGTTCACCACTTGGTGTGCACGTGGCACGTCCAAGTCTGGTACATGGTGCCGAGGAGTCGTCGGCCCGTTGCCTATCTCCCTGAGCAGCTAGGCCAGGCTCGAAGAGGGCTTGTCAATCGTGTCCTTCGATGCTTCCACATTGTCAAGACAATGGATGGTCGCATCCGGGTCCCAATCGACGATTTCAAACCTATTCAAAGAGTTCGCGGGCGACCCTTTGTTTGACAGGCCAAAAGTTTCCTGTAACCTCTTGTGAACATCGGGATGTACAACTTGTAGAATCGTTCTTGTCTGAGGCCAAAGAGATAGTATAGGGCGGGCGGTATTTGATCCGGCATAGGAAAGCGATGTCGCTTGAATGGCTCCAACTGGCGGATGAAGGGATAGTGAAGGCCAGTTTTCAGCCAAATATGTCCAGGTCTTGAAAGGGGGGGGGGGGTGTCCACTACTGCAGCTTATCTCCAGGATCTGTGTGTCCCGGCCCTCAGCCATGACAGGCCACAAGCTAGATCTCAAGCCCCTTCCGAATACTAATCATACGAAGTCGATGCCATATAACATTGTTGGGAGCATGAGATCATTGTTTAGTCCTCAATGAGTTGGTAAATGTTGGGACAGAAGAGCCAAATAGGCCACTAGAGACACATGAACTCAGAGTCAGCAGTGTTGCCGGCTGTTAGATGATCTGCAGCATCCGTCGTCACTAGAGAAGAGCGTGAGGTTGACCTTGAGAAATTGTGTTGTATTCGTGAGGAGGCCCCTTTCAATATAAAAGTCAATCCCCGCTCCAATGGACAGAGGGAATAAAGCTTCAATATGTCGACACTTGAACCTGCTTGAGAATGTGTCGCTTAGGCCAAGGATGCATCTCCTCTGACACTTGGGGTCCTCACCCGTAGAAGTGAATCGCCCAAGGGGAATGCCCATTTTTCTCACTGGCCTGCATCGCTCCTGCAGTTGACAATGAACGTGACAATGTCTTTTTGCCGAGTCCTAGATTGAGCCATCTGGCAAGCCGCCCAGTTTCAAGCAATTTTCCCACTGAAACTCGTGCCAACTAACATTGGGCGTCATGGGCAGATTGATCCCGATCTCCCAAAAGGTTGTGGCAGAAAACACAGCCTTCCCATTACACCCGGCCTTAGGCTCAGGGTGGATCCCAGTCCCATCCATCTCTGCTGGATAAACAATATGACATGACCACCGGCTGCAAATAATACGAGTAGTCCGTCTTTGACAGAGCTGAAGTTGTGTCTGTGCAGAGTGCAGGACTCGAAGGACAGCGGTATGGTGAGCACCGGCTGGTATGGCGTTCGGCCTTACTATCATTTGTCGTTGGGACTTTGGTGCCATCCAGCAACAAAATCCCAAGCCCCCTCTGCACGTTGTTATGGGTCCACTGGATAGCCTTTGTCGTGAGGTTGACAGGATGTATCCCTTGCGAAGGCTGCCAAACAAGGGCTTCTCAACAACTCATACCGCAATCAAGGATTTGACCGCGACTGGATGGGGAATTTCGAAGCAGAAGCATCCATCATCAAGGTCTTCAGTCTTGGCCTAGGCCGACGGCGAACTTCCTCGCAACCCACGCCGCTCCGTTCTCCTCATACTCCTGCTTCGTGACGGCCAGGCTCTCGACATGCGCATGCCTCGCAAAGTTGGCGGCGCCAAGCCAAGTATTGCAGATCGGGTCCGCCGGCCTGGCGACCCTAACGATGGACTCGTCGGGAACCCGCTGGACAATCTCCTTCTGCAGGCGCTGGATGAAGCCGTCGTACTGCGCGTTGCCGCCCACCACAACTATGTTCGCCAGCAGGCCGGGCCACAGCCCTATGGGCAGCGCGTCCAGGCACTGCTTCACCAGGTCGGCGAGGCCTGGCACATGCATGCCTACGTCGGATGGGTTAAAGAAGAGCTCGGGGATGACGAAGCGCTCGTTGCGCAGGGTCAGGATGTCCTCGTTGGACGCGGCGGCTGCCAGCTTGCGCTGCTTGGCGGTCGTTGTGGGATCGAAATCGCGCACGATGCCGGCCGAGCGGGTGTGGAAGTCTGGGAGAACGTAGTCCTTTGCTATTCCAGCTCCTGTAACGTATGGCTCTCGTCTCTCGCCGCGCGTTCCTTTCCAGGTCTTTTCTAGGTCGCCCTTGAAGTCCAGCGAGACGTAGCATGCCTTCTCTTTGATCTCGTTGACGATGTAGGTATCATTTCGCATATCGTAGTGCCTGAGTGAAAGTAGGCGGGTCAGGTAGTTGGTCAGGAACTTGCCGCCAACGTCGAGGCGGCGGATGGCGGATTGTAAGGGGCGGCCCTGGAAGACTGGCGTGACGGTGGTGAAGGAATAACCAGAATCGATCAGGAGGATCAGCTCGGCGGGCAGTTTGCTCATGGCATCTGGGTCGCGTTCAGGGGTTCGGAATATGGCTTGGACGTCGTGGTATGCATTGAATGCCGGCGCTGGCAACGGTCAGCAGGCTTGACCTCTTCTTCTGGCGACAGTGGATGCCTAGACAGGTTTGGAGCTTACCTATGCCACGATAGTAGCTGGCAAAGCCGAACTCCTCGAAGACCATCTGATCACAGTTGGTCTGCAGGGCAGGGATGGAGTTGGGCTGCTCTGTCAGGATGAGCCTTGTCTCGGCAGGATCACATTTCTGCGGCGCGTCGTGGTTGAAGAAGTCGTGGTCCCAGATCTCTTTTTGGGCCTCCCAGTTGACAATGTATCCCTTGTCGACTGGTCTTCGGAAGGAAACCTCGCCAAAGTCCTTGCATTTCGAAAGGTCGGATGCGACGTACGTCTTCCTGGTCCTGTCACGGGCGATGCAGTTTGGGATGACGGTGGGCTCGTCGATGGCGTCGGCTGTGACGAAACCGGCTTTTAGGGTGTGCGCTCCATTGTCGACGACCAGCGTACGGGTTGGCTGGGGTGGTGGAGCGGGCTTGGACCTCCGCGGTGCCATTGTGGTCGATGTGAAGACAGCACTACGTTTGGCGCATGTCGAACCCAAGCACGCACTCACAGCCTTGCTGGTGGAAGGTCAGTCTGCGACGCGCTGGGAGCAGTCAGAAGAAGTTCGAGATCGCCGGCAGGGATCTTTTCGTGCACAGCAGCAGCCCCGCCCGCGAATAATCCCTGTTCCCCCACATGCTAGCTCAACGTCATGCCTGGAGCATGTCCCACGTCTCATTCACCCAATCAATAGCGGGCTGCCCGATACCCAAGCGTGGTGCTTCAAATCGACCCTGCACTCACTACGCTTCAAGCACTCACCCAGAGAGTACAAAGCAAACGACTCGGGAGTCGGTTCTGTGGCATAGGCCGCGGGATCTCGGCTGGGAGCATATGCGATTGGATGAGGAGCAATGGCTATCGCACAGCCGGCTGTTCCGTGGAGGCCCTTTGAGATATCATCGAGTCCGTCTCTATGCGCTCGCTTGTCGGGGCGCCAGTGTGTCATAGCACCATCATCCAGACAGACTTGTCCCTGGACAACACGCTGGGCGGGCAGTTGCTCTAACTCACACAGGCAGCGTGAGTGCATCAGCTGATCTATAGCCTCCGTAACGGCCATACCTGAAAGCTTGCCCCGCCCTCCTCGTCGATGTCATTGGTCCCATGACTTCTGCATGATGGTCTGTCTCCTCGCATGGACGACCAGTCTGGTATACAACCGACTGCCGTACCGACAGGCGAGGCCGTGTCGTGGAGCAGGCTAGTGAGTCTGTTCCTCTTCAAAGAACCGGTATGAGTTGGGTGGGTATAAGAAGGCCCCTCATCTCTGTCCTCTCCTCAAGGGCCCAATCCTTACATCTCCCAAGTCCTGAGCAATTCAGAAAATTCCTTGAAAACAAAACCCTATTATTCCATCAACTTAACCAACATCCCATCCAGAAGTCAACATGCCTGCTTCCTGTGGCTGCGATACGTGCACATGCACAACCTGTGACAAGTGCGATTGCTGCGTAAGTCTTTCGATTCCAACCACACTGTAGCACTGACTGAGAATCGGAATCGATCACACAGAAGGGCAAGCACTAAATATCATGTCTCTACTACGATGGCGCTGGCCGTTGAAGGTGGCTGCGCCCATCAAGGCATTGTTGATACGTTGTGTGTTGGACAAGGAAATCGGTTTTGTAATATTCTTTGCTGTTCTCCATGGTGCCACGGGAGATATGGAGGCGGTCCACCTGACAATCCATTCGCTTAGACTGAGAATATCAGCAGAATCTTTGAAGCATGAACCGAGTATTACGTTGCAAAAACCAATTTTCGCTTGAACGTTGCTCATGATTTCCAGACGTGCCCCAGGACTCCAACAAGGTTAGGGGGGTATAGACTATTTGTATTCTTTGAGTTCCTCTACTAAGCTGGAACGACAATGATTGTCCTAGTGGGAGGGGGGTTAGGGGGGTATAAGAACATTATTCTCAATTTGAGAAAGGACTTGACTCTAAAAGGTGGGTCTCGTTTTCAATCTGTACACATATGCTTCTCAAGCAGCATGCATCCAGTCATGAAATGAACGCTTTGACAGCAACTGATTGGGTCCCTCATATCTGCTTTTGGAATGGGACTTGTTCTAAACATCGACCTTTGTCTTCGCGAATTACCCAGCGCTGTTCCCAATTTGGATAAGAAATAGAGAAATGGTTGATGGGCGGCGAGTCAGTCGCGACTCGCTCGGTGCTTGGCTCTGGGGCTTGTCATCCACGTTCAAACGGCGAGGTGCCGACCACCACATTGCAAACAGATGAATATTTACAGGAACAAGGATAGTCTACTGACATTAACAGAGTAACTTTTACAATTGAGCTCTGCTTGCAATGAGGCTTAATGGAAAGATCTCGATCGGCACGAGCTGCATTGCCTTGGAAGGTTCTGAGCAAAGGCCTCGTAGTCTGGTGACCACAGTACGGGGCTCCAGTCCATTCACATACGACCGTTATTTAAGCCCAGATTGGCAAAGTGGTTCTTGATCCGAGATGTGGATTTTGATCTTGTACATTCGCCGGGGGAGCTCACTTATACAGAGATCTTGCCCGGGGTTCCTGCATGTCGGTACCATTTCAACAGGCCATTTCCCACTGCAAGATAATCTTCTTCCGGACCCAAAGTGGGACCAGGGCCAATCACCTCGTCTGAACATGCGACGATCAAGAATCGAACTCTTCGCAATGGATACTGCGACAACTAAGAACAGCCGGCTGGGTTTTCTACTAGTAGTGGATTTCCTACCTTGCCGACAGGGGGCAATGATGGTCAGTAAGCAACGGTGATGCGACGTTGGAGAACTTCTGCCCGCTTGGCTGGCCAGCACATAAAGAAGCTGTACACCTAGAATCTTTGAATACCGCCCTTCTCGGCATTGCTGCATGGAACAATCATCATGAGGTCGTGTCTCCTTGCTGCCCTCCTCCATATAGGGGTTATCGCCGCCGCGTCCGTGGATCCTCGCCAGTCCGGCAGCCTCCTCGTCGACGTTGCCCCCGATCATCCCCGGCCATATGTCCTACCTAGATTTAAGGGTCGGACTATTAAGCTCACGCCCTCGGACATCATCCGCTTCGCCATCACGGCCAACTCGTCCGACGGCGCCTTCTCCATGGTCCAGCACAACGGCAAGTCCTCCGGGTGGACGGTCGCCCGGCCACACACCCACGAGCACGTCCACGAGCACTTCTACTGCCTGCGGGGCCGCGCCGAGCTCTGGGCGCAGAAGAACGTCACGGGGGCCAGCCACGAGGCGCGGGTCGCGACGGTGGGCGACTACGGCAGTGTTCCGCCGGGCACCATCCACACGTTCCAGCTCGTCGACCCGGACAGCCAGCTGAACCACGTCTTCCACCCGGGCGGGTTCGAGCACCTCTTCGACGAGTTCAGCATCGGCGACTACGAGTCCGTCGTCGGGTCGCCGTATGTGCCCCTGTCGGGGGACCCGGAGCCCTTCGGCCCGCTCACCCCCGAGATCGACGCCCAGCTCCGGGCGCTGGATCTTATCGCCGCGCCGGCCGAGGAGTACAAGCCGCGGAGAGACATGATCAACGGGACTGCGAGCGACGCCGGCCTGCCCTGGCATGACGGGCCCAATACGCTGCCTGAGGACCCGACAGAACCGTACTTCGTCGCCCACAACTATGGCCCGGCGTACCTCAATACTGAGATTGGGTACAAGGTGATCCAGCCGCTTGTCACTCCCGCGCAGACCGGTGGTAACTTCACCATGGGCACCATGATCCTTTCCCCGAAACTTGATAACGAGACGACCACGGCCGTCACACTCCCCCACCACTTCGCTCTGGAGCTCCAGGAGGGCCAGTTGATCCTCACGGTTGACGGGTTCGACACGGCGAGCCTGCTGCAGGGAGACGTGGCATTCGTCCCTGCCAATACGTCCTTCACCTTCCACGCCACAGTTCCCTTTACAAAGTTTCTGTACATGAGTGGTGGGGGGCAGGGTCTGGATCAGAAACTGCTGGAAAAGAGCATTGCTTGGGAATTCCCAGCATATCCGTCCTACGCTGGCTTCCAGGGTGGCAACTAGCAGGTGTGGTCCTGTAATGTGTAATTGTCGGCATGCATAAGTCGGATGATGTGCGCCCATCCTCGCGGCGCATGTCGAGTGTTCAAAACAGCCCGGTCGGCGTGTTTCAGTGAGCACTTTCGATGGAGATGGCGTTAGGAGACAATCTAGTGTACATATCACAAGTGGCTGCCCCGCAGCCGCAGCAGCAATGTAGCAGTTATAATTCATGAGGGCCCTAAACAATATTCTTGCGCTACAGTATATGATTATCTATTCAATTCATAAGTCTCCCTCGGCAAGAATTGTCACCGGGAGAACGTCGTAGGGAACAGCGTGGTGTTGAGGAGACTCTCTCAGAAATAAGTGAACTTTCCAGCCTATTACCTAGGTACTCTGAAGGCCTTACTCTTTCAGCAGGGTAAGGCTAAGTACAGTGACAGGGAATGCCTGGGTTTCCTGCGAGCTGTAACTTGCGACCAGCCTGTAACGTTGTATGGGGAAATGCAATGGAACCGCGGGGAATGCCTTACCCAAACCAAGGATCAAGGGACCTTGCTCAGGAACAATTATTCGATTCGATGAGAAGTACCGAAAATGCCCCGCCAGCACAGAATTCCACGTCAACTAAAGTTCGCGTCTTATACTAAAGCAGCTGATATTGCGCTCATCTGCTAGAGTAAAAGTCCTTGTGCAGGATATATGTTTTTGGTTGCATTGAGAGAATTGGTCTACGTACCAACGAGTGGGACTGAAATGGAAATAACATTTGGAGCTAAGCCTTCAGACGATCGGTCGCCGAGGGGCAATCACTCTCGGGATGAACTATCGATCACCCACACAATTTGGCAAACCCCCTCACGCTTCCGGGGCACGCACCTGAGGCAAGAGGAGGGCAATTGAACATGAATAGAAGCTCTGCATCTACTTGATATTCTGTGATGGGTTTCTAACTCCGCTCTTGTGTTACCATTGGCACATGCATTATTCTTCGCGTGCATTTATTCTGGGTGGCTGCAGCGACCGCTCCATCCGGTACAACAGACCATCACTCCTCTTCCTGGCGATGCCGGGATCCCGCATGGCTTGGCCAGGATAGAGGAGGTTCACAATCTCCGCACCAATTTCCATTATGTCCTCGCTCAGACTGGCCCGAGTCTGCCTACTCAATCTCAACCCGAGGCCGTCATCATAACGTGTCTTCAGCTCGATCACACTGCGGCCAACAATGATGTGGAAAGAATCAAGATTCACCGCATTGCTCGGAACAGGGCTCTTCACCCTGGGCCACGGTCGCCTGACAGACTATGTCGACCCTTTGATTGGTAGTGCAGGACCCAACCTGTTGAGCAACATCGCGTCCGGTAATGTCTTTCCAGGGCCATGCCTCCCGAACGGCATGGCGAAGCCCGGAATAGATACAAGCTATCTGGGGCTTGCGGACGGGACCCAGACCGATCACAATGGAGGCTACAGCCCCATCGGGAACTTCACAGCAGTGAGCATGATGCATGTCTCTGGGACAGGAGGAGACCCCACATGTGAGTCTTTGTATAGCAGACAAACGACCCAATGGGCCGTCCTGGGAGAACGCAGGGCTGACGGGCTTGGACAGACGGCATTGTGTCCCAGACGCCTCTGTTGGGAACGCTAGCGGGTGTCAACTTGGGAGACAATCGAACATACTGGCAGAATCGGTCGCTCGAGAGCGAGATTGCATCGGTTGGATATTTCACAACGACACTGCTGAACGACGTCAAGATCGAGATCGCGGCCTCGAACCACACCAGCCTTGTTCGCTACACGTTTCCCACGGAAAGCCAGAATCAGACGTTCTCCCTGCCTTCGACGCCGGATATCTCCCAGACCCAGACGGAGAATGACGCCCATGTTCTGGTGGATTTGACACACGTGCTTCCCGCCTACCAACCAGGGACCCAAACCTACTCCCAGAATTATATTCAAGGTGAGATACACATACGATCAGGGCCGTCAGGGCCATCGTACTATGGTAAAGCGTCATATGCCGGCGGTTGGCCAAACATTGGTCTTTACGACATCCACTTCTGCGGAAACTTCACCGTACCAGCCGATTTGGTTCCAAGCAATGAATACGTCCGAGCAGTTGGAACCAACCGAGTCGATGGAGCAGGCACCCTCTTCTGGCAGTACAACTTATTCGAGCCTCCCACTGAGGCCCCCGAGGTCCGGTCCTACGTGGATGCATACACGCAGATCGGAAATAGAATGGGCCTCGGCGCTCTTTTCAGCTGGACGCCGTCGCCGACAGCGCCGAATAATGGTTCAGGGGCAGTGATTGAGAGCAAGGTCGGCGTCTCCCACATATCTGCCGAGCAGGCCTGCAGCTATATTGCTAGCGAAATGCCTGAGTCGACCTCTTTCGATGATCTCGTCGAGCAAGCTAGGTCGGAATGGGAGTCAAAGGTTCTCAGCACCATTGAGGTGGTCGAGGGTGACAGCCCGGAGGCGCAGAATGACACATTGAAGCGAATGCTCTACACTGCCTTGTACCACACCGCCGTCCTGCCCACCGACAAAACGGGCGAGATTCCGCTCTGGACTTCAAATGATTCGTTCCCTTACTTTGATGACCACTATGTCAGTCAACATCTCATCAGGCATCTATACGTTGCCAGCGGACTCTTGAAAATATGCTGACACAAATCCACAGACATTGTGGGACACCTATCGGTCTCTACTTCCGATGTACCACCTTCTCTATACAGGCACTTACAGTCGCATCGTGAGAGGTCTGATCAATATCTTCTCCTTTGAGGGCTGGCTGCCTGCAGGACGTGCCGGTAATTGGAACGGCCGAGTCCAGGGAGGCACACATGCAGACATAGTCCTGGGGGATGCGTTCGTCAAGAGCGTGCAATCACCCACTGGCGAGGAGGGCCTGGGGGAACTGGGCGAAATTGACTGGGAAGAGGCATATCGAGCCGTGTACGTATTCCCATGCCAACCCAAAATAGACGGACCGCGCTGACCCAACACAGCATCAAAGACGCGACAGTCCTACCAGATCGCAACGCCGACTCTGTGACTTCAGATGGCGCGACAAAGGATGGCCGCGGTGCCCTCGAAGACTACCTCTCACTCAATTACATCACCCGCAACCACTCCAGGAGTATCTCTCGGGGTCTTGAGTACTCCCAGAACGACTTCTCCATCTGGGCCATCTCCAAGGGCCTGGCCAAGGCCGACAGTGAACAGGACGAGCTCCTGGAGCGATCGAACTGGTGGCAGAACCAGTGGAACATAGACGCGAACAAGACGCTCGAGGGCGTGGGTGACTTCATCGGGTTCCCGGCGCCGCGAAATGCCGACGGGACGTGGAACACGACGGACTACGATCCATCTCAATGCATTCCGTCGTGCGGGTACGTAAAAGCCTACATGTCATGAAACTGTCAGATTAGACTGCGACAGATATAGCTAACAAAGACAAAGCTGGAACGACGACATCTACGAAGCTACAGTTTGGGAGACTGGATTCTCGGCAGCACCGCACGACATGAGCAAGGTCATCGAGTCCATGGGCGGTGACGATGCCTTCATCCGACGCCTTGACGCCTCGTTTCTTCCTGGATTGGGAGCGGACCGGGGGGAGAACAACAATGCTGGCACTGCAATTTACAACCCAGGAAACGAGCCCTCTTTCCTCATCCCATTTCTGTACAACTATGTCCCTGGTTACCATTGGAAGACTGCCAACCAAACGAGGGCAATAGTTGACGAGTTTTGTACGTGAGCTCCTCATCTATGTAGATTTAGTCTTGTGTATACTGACAGAGACGTATGCAGACAACGACCGGCGAAATGGATATCCCGGAAACACAGACGCAGGTGCCATCCCCTCATGGCTGGTCTTCAACCTCATCGGCTTCTACCCAGTGGTCGGGCAACCGTTGTACCTGCTAGGAGCACCTCGCTTCCCAGAGCTCCGTGTGACGCTGCTCTCAGGCACTCCTTTTGAGAATGTCCTGACCATTAGAGCTGACAACCTCTCTGCTTCGTCTTACTATCCACAATCCGTCACTTTGGACGGAAGCCCTCTGGACAGAGCCTGGCTGAGCCATGTCGAGCTGGCGACTGCATCAGAGTTGGTGTTCCAGATGAGTAGCGAGCCGGCTCAGTGGGACACGGGCAGCAGGCCCTGGAGTCTGAGTGGATGGGAATGAGATGGATCGATGTTGCTTTACCAGGGAACATAATGAATTTAATGTTTGGCCCCTGGTTAAGTTTTATAGCAACAGCCCATCGAGAAACATATTTGCTCGCGTGGCATGACTTAATCTGTGTTACAAGGCAACAATTGATTGCGTGCGGCTTAACTGGACTCAAGTGCTGTATTCGCGTCAGATTCGCAGCCTAGATCCTGCTGCTATCCTGAAACGCCCACTATCAGTACAGCCCCTGTCATCTTGTGCATATGTCCTTCCTATTCTGTTTCCCCGATACGGTAAGGAGTCATTCCTGGCGACGATACCATGCTTGGCTCGCCGGCGAGACTGCGCGGACGGCATCAGCCTGTTCGATTCTACGAACTTCCAATATCAGAATCGACGCGCGGGTTGCCGGCACTCAATCCTAGCCAGAGTCTCAGGAATTGGTGATCTCACCACCCATTTGTTATTGTTCACATTGGCCCTTTTTTTTCAACACGGGGACACTGGAGCCATTTGAAGGCCGCATATTTCTGCAGCCCCTTCAGCACCCCCTCGGACTGGATGAAGGCCATGTCTCTGTGACCAACACGAGCGCCGCCACATCGTGCAGCAATGATTACACTCTTGAGCCGTTTGTGGAAGGCTGCCGAGGAGACTTCGACTCCACTTTTCTCTTTGAACTCGTCATTCTGTCGGTCATGCCTTCAGTCTGCTTCTTGGTTCTGTCTTCATTCCGCATATGGAGCCTTCGCCGGAAGCCGGTCCTGATTAGAGGATCCTTACTGTCTTTGCGCAAACTCGTGAGTGACTGCGACCAGCATCGTCCGTTGTATCCCCTATTTTCCCGACATAGACTGAGCACGGAACTGCCTAGGTTGTCATACCAGTTTTCGGTGTCGTAAATCTGTGCGTGCTCTTTCTTGTCTCCAAGCAGACAAACGATGGCGCCCGTGAGGCTAAGATGGCCTCCGCCATCTTAGCTGCCATTGCTTCACCTGTGATGGCTTACCTATCGTATCTGGAACATCATCGGTCGCTCAGGACGTCGCTCATCCTGAACCCATACCTTTTGATCATCACGATAGTCAACATCGGCAGAACACGTACGACTTGGCTACTGCAAGAGGAACAGTCTTACTCCATTCTATTGACGGTCACCACAGCTGCGTCAGCGGCACTTGTCGTCATGGAAGCTATACCGAAGAGCCGCTGGCTTAAGTCTTCAAATCAAGGCAAGAATCCTGAGGAGGCGAGCGGTCTCTACAGCCTACTGTTCATGTCTTGGGTGACCCCTCTGCTCAGGCTGGGGAACAAAAAGATATTAGAAACGAATGATCTCTACCCTCTGGACTCCCAACTCTCGGCTGACGTCCAGTCTGGTCACTTCCAGAGGGAATGGCGAGACAAACATCGATCACCCAAAGGGAATTTGTTGGTCATCCTTCTCAAGTCTATATCCTGGTCATTGATTCAGCCTATCCCAAGCCGGCTCGCGAAGGTAGTGTTCTCGTTCTGCCAGCCATTCTTCATCGGAGAACTGATCAGATTCCTGGAGTCCGACCCACTCTCGAACCGCAACACTGGACTCGGCCTCATCCTGGCGAGCTTGCTAATCTACCCTGGGCTAGCGTTGTCAAACTCGACCTTTTTATGGCTTCACTCTCGCGCAGTCAGCAAAGCCAGAAGCGCCCTCGTCACAGCCATCTTTCAGAAGATGACCGAGCTCAACTCCACCCACCTGGACACGAACATCCTGACGCTCATGAGCACGGACGTCGAGCGTATCACTCCGGGAGGGCTGTACCCGATCCATGATATATGGGCAAACACCATCGAGGTGATCCTGGCGTCCTGGTTCCTACACAGACAGCTCGGCGCCGCATTCATCGCACCAATCCTGGTGGTGTCAGCAAGCGTCGTGAGCACTTCTTTCATCGCAAAGTTCGCAGGCCCCGCCATGTCGAAGTGGACCCATCGTACAGAGGCCAGAGTCAGGTTGACCACTGCCGTGGTGGCAAGTATGAAGGCTCTGAAGATTTCTGGGCTCTCCGAGTCGACCGCCGGGTTTCTGCAAAAGTACAGAGAGGACGAACAGCGTATTGGAAGCGCCTACCGGATTCTTGTCGTCGTCTCTATCACCTCTGCCTTCACACCCATGTTCCTTGCGCCGGTGGCCACCTTCTTCTGGGCCGGGCGTCAGCTGAGCATGGCTGAAGTGTTTTCCAGCCTGTCGTACGTGGCTCTGATTACAAGCCCTTTGACCCAGCTGTTTCAAAAGGTGCCGGATATTCTGGCTTCGTTTGCATGCCTCTCCAGGATTCAGGACTTTTTGACCATGGAGGCGAAGTCGGAGTATCGCAGGTTCGATGGTTCTCCAGCCACAGCATTGGAGGAAGCAAATGTGGCCATTTCATTTCGACATGTAAGCCTAGGTTGGACTGAGGATCGAAGGCAACTGAAGCACCTCAATCTGACCATCCCGAGATCAAGCCTGACGATTGTCACTGGACCAGTGGCCGCGGGCAAATCAACCCTATGCAAAGCACTGTTGGGAGAAGTTCCTTTCACGGAGGGAACAATCAGATTCCATCAGGGCTTGCCTCGCATCGGTTACTGCGACCAGACACCTTTCCTCACAAATGGCTCTATCCGGTCCAATATCATCGGATTCGGGCCGTTCGATGGCCAGCTTTACGAAGAAGTTCTGGAGACTGTCATGCTCAAGGATGATCTTCGTTCACTGCCAAGGGCTGATGAAACGCCTATTGGAAGCGGTGGAATCAGCCTCAGGGGCGGCCAAAGACAGCGTGTTGGCCTCGCGCGAGCGCTGTACCTCAACGCTGACGTCTATGTCCTGGATGATTGCACAGTGGGCCTCGACAAGCCTACTGCAGACAAGATCGTGTCATGCTTGTTTGGTCCTGGCGGGTTTCTTCGCCGCAGAAAGGCCACGATAGTGTGGTGTACTCACTCGATCAAATATCTGCCCCTTGCCCAGAATGTCATCGCCCTCAATGCTGAATGTGGCTTGGCGCACCAGGGTCAGCCCGAGGAAGTCCTTGGTGACAAGCGAGTTGTTTCAACATTAGAACATGACCAGGGCAGGCCTAATCAACAAGATGTTGTGCCAGATGCCAAAGTCTCCATAAACGCAACTTCGAAGACAGAGCATGAAGACGAAAAAGATCCCACCCGTAATCTCAACGATACCTCAGTCTACGCCCACTATTTCAGCTCCTTCGGCCCCCTTCTCATCTTCGCTGTCCTATTCTCGGGCTTGATGTGGGGTTTCTTCTGGAACGCTGGCACACTCATTCTCAGGTACTGGGCCGACAACAGCTTCCACATTCCCGCCTCTCAATCACACGTCAACAATGTCTACCTCGGCATCTACGCAATACTCCAACTCTGCGGTGTATCATCGTCACGGGTCTCTATGTTGCCAGCACTGACATGAGAATGGCCCAAGTGGGCGGATCAGTCCTACACCTCAAGGCCGTCAAAGGCCTGATGGCCGCGCCGTTGCAGCACTTCACCAAGACAGACCAGGGTGTCACCGTCAACCTCTTCTCGCAGGATATCAACCTCATAGGCTTCTTCCTCCCCAAAGCCCTATCGAACACCATGCTCGCCTTGTTCGCGTCGGCGGGCCAGGTCGTCGTGGTCGCTGTCGGCATCCCCTTCGTGGCACTGGCCTACCCAGTCCTCCTGGCCTTCCTGTCCTTCCTCTCGCGGTTCTACCTCAGAACATCCAGGCAGCTCCGCCTCCTCGACCTCGAGAACAAGAGCCCCCTCTACGCACAGTTCCAGGACACGATCCGCGGCATCGCATCCATCCGCGCCTTCGGCTGGGTGCAGCAGTACACGGCGCAGAACCACGCGTCCGTCGACGACAGCCTGCGGCCCGCGTACCTCCTGCAGATGACGCAGGTGTGGCTCGCGCTCGTCCTCAAGCTCGTCGTCGCCGCGGTCGCGATTTCCGTTACGGTCCTGGCGACGCAAGTGGTTTCGTTGTTCGGGCGGGCGGGCTTTGTCGGCGCGGGGATGGTGTCGCTCATGGAGCTCGGGAACATGATGAACGCGTGCGTGCACAGCTGGATACACCTTGAAATGAGCCTGGGCGCGGTGAAGAGGCTGAAGGATTTTGGTGAGAAGTCAGGGAGTGAGGACAAGGATGGTGAGGGCCTGCGGCCTGCGGAGAGCTGGCCGGAGAGGGGCGAGATTGTGATTGGGGGTGTCGATGCGTCATACGAGGAAGAAAGGTACCGAGATAACGGCGAGGATAGGACTCTTGTCCTCAAGGGGATTCGGATGAACGTTCAAGCGGGCGAGAAGGTGGCGGTCATCGGGAGGACAGGAAGCGGCAAGTCGTCCTTGATCCTCCTCCTTCTGCGTCTGCTTGAGCCGACATCCGAGACTGCGGGTGAAATCACCATTGGCGGTACTCCGCTCCGGCGGATCCACCGAGATACGCTTCGGCAGAGGATCATTGCCATGCCTCAGGTCATGGTATTTCTCGCCGGGGGCGAGAGCTTCAAGGCCGCGCTCGATCCCTCCTCCCGCAACTCCGACGAGGAATGCCAGTTCGCCCTCGAACAGGTCGGATTGTGGTCCATCATCCAGAATTCTGGAGGACTTCAGGCAGATATGACCAAGGACGTATTCAGCCAAGGCCAAAAGCAGCTGTTCAGCCTCGCCATTGCTATTATCAGGGCGCGGCTCCGAGAGAAGCATGGCAGTAGAGGCGGCATATTGCTTCTGGATGAGGTCACCTCGAGTGTTGATAGGGAGACGGAACAGACTATGATGGACGTTATCAAGCGAGTCTTTGCTGATTACACCGTTGTCGCTGTCACGCATAGCCTCGAGTCTATCGCAGGTTTTGATAGGATATTCGCCTTGGGGAATGGACGGGTTATAGAGGAGGGCGCGCCGCATTCCTTTTCTCAAGAAGACACAAGGGTCGACAATTGATCGAGAGCGGGGCGCTTCGAAACTGCCACTGCACTGAATCACTTAGGAGACAATTTCAATGTCGGGCTGATGATGGGCAAGTACAACTTTTCCTTTTTCAAATATGTATAGACACAGAACTGTGCTTCTACTCGCCGCAGAAGCAACGGGTAGAAACAGAAATGAAATTGCAGAGACAGAATCAAGTCAAACCAAGCATCTCCTTCACCATCCTCTTATCATCTAGCACCCGACCGCCAAGCCGATCTAGATCGTAGGAGGACCACCGGGACCACCACCACCACCGTTGTTGTTCTGGACACCACCAGTCTCGTACAAAGTAGCAGCAGCGTTGACGCTCTTGGAAAGGGTAGGGTCGATGCCGAACGCCAGCCAGCCGAGCAGGCCGCTCTCGACAGTGTCGCCGAGCAGGACGTACTCGACGAACGGGTCGCTGGTGGCGGCCTCCTGGGCGAGGATGCCGTCGTCCGCGTTGATGGTGAGCTGCTGCGTGTTGGCGGCGTAGACGGAGGTGGCCTCGACCTCGTAGATGAGGTCCTGGTCGAAGAAGACCTGCCCGACGTGCGAGGCCGTCGTGTCCAGCAGCGTGGCGTTGTCGCGCGCCGTGGCGTTGAGGTGCACCAGCACGTGGATGTGCGTCGTCCGGCCAGTGTAGTGGCCCGGGAACAGCGTGTCGAAGCTGGCGACGCCGTCAGTGTCGGTCGGCTGGATGCCGCGGGCAAAGGTGGCGTCCAGGTTGGTGGTGTCGCTGGCTGAGTCGCCGTTGCCGTTGGCAGAGACGCCAGAGTAGACGCCGGTGGAGTTGCAGGCTGCGAGATGTTGGTTAGCATCAGATTTATCCACTGAGAAGGAGACCAGAGAATCGAGTATGCTCACCCCAGATCTCAGTGTAGGCATTGGCGATCGGCTCGCAAGTGTTGACATCGAGAACCTGGAGTTCAAGGTGCAGGTCAACACCAGCCTGTCCGTCGGTCACATTCTCGCGGATGAACTCTCCGGAGACGTAGTACGGGCCTTCGGTGACCTCGGGGCTGAGAACGCAAGAGCCGTTGCTGGCGAAGATGGTCTCCTCGGGGGTGTCAAGAGTGTAGTCCTCGCCCGACAGGTGAGAAGTGTTCAGGGCAGAGAGATCACGGACTATATTAGGTAACGTCAGTTTTAAACTCTAATATACCCTCTCTGCAACGTCAACCAAGTATAGTGTTACTTACCACCCTTCATCAGGCCCTTCTTCTCGATGAGAGCAGCAGCTTGGTCCGCACGACGCTTGACATTGCGGGCCTCAAGGCCGTTCCTCCTGATCTTCGCGACGCAGTGGCTCAAGTCCTTCTTGGTGTGCTCAAGAAGGGTGCGGCGCATGGCCTGCTCCCTCTTGATGTCGTGGTTGTGGTGGGCAGCAGCCATGGTCGCCGCCATGGCGCTGGCAATAACGGAGGAGAAACGCATGGTGGATGAAGCTGTCTTGCTCGAGGAGTATAGTTGAGACTGTGTGGGAAGCTGAGAGAACGACTGGGACTTTGCCTCTGGAGGGTGAGGATGAAGACTTGGACCAAAGAAACTTCATCCAGTTCCCTCCATGAGCTTTATACATTCACTACCATCCATCCCCTCTGCCCCCCTTCTAGCCTCGTCATGGCTGTTGATCGCTCCTGCCAAGACATCACTCGTGCGGCCAGGCTAGTTGACGACACTTGGGCGCCCGGAGGCGGAATATCACGCCCACTGCCTCAAAACAGTAGGGCCTTTCCTTACGAGGCAGGTGATATACACGACATGATCTAGGCCAACACTTGATTACCATGTCCGCCGATACAACATCACGAGAGGTCACGGTCCTGTGGGCCACCGGCCAAGCATGCGCCCAAGCCCCTTCGACAACTTGACAGGAGTCCTTGCGGATAATCTACGACCCTAAATCTAGTTCTAGACTACTCCGAGATCCATCAGATGTATAATATAAGCATACTGCCCCAGACATTCCTCATTAGGCGCTGTGCTCCGGCAGATGAGCAATCAGGGAGCAGTACTTGGGGCGGGTTCGTGCCAGCAGACTGAGCGAGGCTGCGAGCTCCCGTCATTCCCACGGTACTAGGCCAGGAGGAAAGGAGAAAGTGGACGAGGCCCTACATGAACAATGAAACATTGACGCGTAAACAGAATCAGAAACCATGTGATTTGACGAGCCCCGTCTGCACCTCCCTGACCGGGCCCCATACGGCCCTGGGCGCCAGCATGCAAGGATGCGGGTAGTGGGGGAGTTCCTGGAGCCGCATGCGCGCAGGGCCCCGGTAGGGCGTCGTAAGCTTTCTGGGCGGCGAGGCCAATCACGTATTATGAATTAGAGCATCCGACCTTGGCGGCGCCCAGGTGCTCGCCGAAATGCTCCACCTCCAGCGCAGGAATGGGATATAGACGGCGCAGCGCCCACCACATCCCTAGGATTTCAACGGGCGGGCCAAAGTGCCAGTGAGCGAGGGCTCTCGTCTTGGCTTCCTGCTTGGGCGAACAAATTGTTGCGTGCGTCCGCATGTCTTGGCGGGTGTCATAAGTGTGCATCTGCGCTGCTACCGGGCGACGCAATTCGTCGGTGGCCTTTCATTATCTCGGGGTCCCGACTACCAGCCATGGGCTGGGCTTCATGACTGCCAAAGACGGGAAGGTCTGAGTCCCACAGAGCCGTCGTGGCCGGAGGCGTTGTTTGCTTGCGATCCACATATGATAATGCGACGTGTGTGGACGAATCCGGCAGCTCGGGGGAGCATCAGTTGTTTTCCCAGTCATGATGTTTTGAGGTTTGATAAGACATGTCAAAATCTGTAGAAACAGGGTGAACCTCGTTGAGAGGCCCTTGCTCTGTGCCTCGCCATCCCTTATTCTCCGATGCTGCCTCACTGGTTCAAGAAGTTGGAATGAACTGTTCGTTTGCATGTTGTTTGTTTCGAAGACATGACGAAACATGAAACTGAGAAACGCTCGAGTCAAAGCATCAACCTTGACAAAAACCTTACAATGGCATGCATCAGCGAGCTGGCAAGTAGTTGGGCTTGGTGAACGACCAGTGCGGCAAACAGTCCAAGGTCCTCGTCGCGTGACGTACGTTCCTCTTCATGAATGTTATTGTGCGTACCTTTTAAGTATAACAAGGAGCTTGCCGCGCGCTGAGAAAATGAATTTGTGGGGAGCGGCAGACTACCCGGCGGGATATGGGGCCGCTATGGCCAAGGACAGGAGTGGTGTTTGATTGGGAGATTGCAATGCTAATACAGCCGAGTAGAAGTTTTGCCGGCGACGACAGCAACGCCGGCTGATACATGAGGGGTGTTCGCTTGCTTGCCAAATGAGACGCCGACCGAGAGGAGATGCCATATGAGCCTGAAACGTACATGTGAAGAGACTGTGTGGGTATAGATATGCCAAAATTAGGGGAAACGCGGTCACTCCTTTCTGCATCAATCTGTCAGGTTGGCCACTGCTCACCGCTGCAGACGACCACCAGGCTCTCTTCCATTTCCAAGTTGGTGCACTTCGTTCTCCTGCGGCTCCATCACCGTGATGTGGCCCAAAAGTCCGCGGGTACCGAGGAGTTACTCTCGGTGGGTGTTGTGTCCCCGCGGCTATCAAGTGTGGGCTGTCGGGTCCGCAACATATACGGGCAGATCAGTACTGCCCCCGGGCGAATATGACTGTCTTCTGTGCCCGCACACATGGCCCGATTCTTCGGATCCTTGAGTTCAACGACGCGAAGGGCGGCGGGACGAGCACCCTTTGGGAACAGAAGTCAGCAACTGGACACTAGAAACCGGGAGGAAGTGACCAGAACTCACAGTCACATTTTTCGCTTGTCGAGCCCTCGTTGTGGATAATACAGTACCCGCCACGACAGCTGCGGCATTGCCGCTGCGTTCGATCGATACAGGTCGAGCACTATCGCCAAGACGTTAGCCCCGGACCTGGACACATTCTCGGCCGGCCATCGTAATCGATGCAACTCACGTTATAGCCGCATTCCCAGCAACTCCTCGCCATTCGAGCCTGGGGCGCAAGACGCGTCAGCAAAGTCTCGGATGAGATGAACTGGCTCCGACACATCGTCAGGGTCGAGCGGGTTGGAATGAAAAAGCAAGAAACTAAGGTACCTGCACGCAGAAGCAAGCAGGGGGGCATAACCATCGCATACAATTTCGTCGGCCTCAGGACTGTTAGAGGGGCGATCTGAGGAGGGAAGGTCGTTGGTTTTGTTTTTTCTGGAGTCGACACTCGCACTCCCGAGGGCATGTTTCCGCACCAGCCACACGTTCCTACGTCTCGGAGCGTGGGGTGTCGGAAAGGCGGCCACCGAAAAGCTCGTCATCTACTCCCACGCACTCGTCACAGAGACCATCTCGTACCTTGTAGTAGAGTCCATCGACGTGCGAGTCCATCTGCCCGGGCACGTAGCACTTCTCACACCACCACTTGTTGCAGCCCCAGCAATAGCGGTCGCGAAGACACTCCATGCACCTGGCAAGGAATCGTCTCTGTTCGGTTCTGTTGGATCCGCCGCTCCGCGATGGTTTCACGTCCGCCCCTGACGGACAGCAAGCCACCCTGGTGTTGCTGCTGTGCACCGGCGGCGGTGCGAGGAGAGGGAATCGGCACGTGTCGTCGTCTCCGTCCGTGCCGGCCGATTCGCCCCATACTGTCCACCCTTCCGGTGCTGCCCCACAACCAGCGCATCCGTCCAACGCGTGCGTCGCAACTGCCCAGCTGGAGGGAACCTGGGGTGATGGAGGACTGCTCGGGCCAATGTTGACTTGGCCAAACGCAGGTGAGTTGAAATGCCTGGGCCCCCTGCACAAGACCGCATCGAAGGATATCAATCCTGCGCAGGCTAGTATTGTGGATGCCCACTCCGTCGGAACAGGGCGTGGGACGACTGTGCCTTTTCGATCATACCACAAGTCGCTTGGCTGGTGTAGGACGTCAGACAGGGCCTGGTGCGAACGCTGGTTCCATCCGGCAGCCGTGGCGTTGCCTCCATTCCCAATCGCGGCGGTATCCCCGGTCAAACAAGGCGGGTCCTTAGCGCCAAAGATGTACAGACCCTTCAGCCGCGGCGTACCTTCCGGCCGGCTGGGACGGACTGCCATCTGAAGTGCTGCCCGTAGCTTCGGCTCGTTCAGATTCTTCACCTCTCGCAAGGAGAGAATGCGGACGGAGTATGAAGGGTCGCTGATTATCTCGTGAACCAGCTCAGCAGTCACTGAAAGACCATCTAAGATTAGTGTCGACACATCTCGAAGAATCTGCTGTCGACGGAGAGCCCCGAATATCCCACGTAGGGGCCCAGAGTAGAAGCTATCCATGAAGAATCAGTACAAGGCCGGGCGGGATTGGTGTCAAGGTTAAGCTCACTCGTCTTCTGTCAGGTTCTCATCAAGCTGCACGTTTCGCCATACCTCGCCCCCTTGATCGATGGGGTCAATATCAAACTGCGCAGACTTGACCTGCGTGAGGTCAAGCCGTCTGAAGACACCAGGCGTGTGATGTATCAAGCTCCGAAAGGCCCGGGAGGTTGCTGCGAGACTCACAGTGGCGGATGGCGGCAAATGATCGACCGTCAGGGAGAGAAGCAGGGGGTTGGAAAGGAAGAAGAGCAAGGTGCCCTCTTGGATCTCGTCGGGCAGGACGTGACCGCCGCCGCCGCCGTGATCATGGTCATGGCTGATCGGAGCCATGTCGGGGTCGCTACATGCAGCCGGTAACAGGCGGACGCCACCGTTGGTGGACGCCGGTAAGAGCTCTAGGAAGGGAGCGAGGATACGCCTGACACCGGAGTCGCCGCTCAAGTGGGTGCTCTGTTGCGATCGAGCCTCGCAGAGAGCTGTGGCCGTGAGAGGCAGATACATGGGGGCGCGTTGGATGGGTCGGTGCGCCGGATATGTGGCATCCAGGAGCTGAAATGGCCGGGCCAAAAGGGCAGTTGGGTCGCAAACAAGCCGTTCAAAGGTGCGCCGGGGCTTGGTATTGAAGGATATTGGAGAGGCTCGGCGGATGTGAGGGTGTCTCGGGGATTGTGCTGACAGGTCCCGGGGGATGAATCAAGCGTTCAAGTAGTACGGATATGGTGCAGCGTGGTGGTCTGGTGTAAGACGGAATGCGCCAGAGACCGATTGCAAGAGCGGTGAGAGATATTAAAGGTGCGCGTGGAGATCCTATTTGTCGTGTCAATGGAGATGCACAGCAGAGTTGCTGTGTTGTGTTGCGTTGCAGGAGCTGTCGTCCAGGCCGTGCTTGGTCGCCTCCGACCCAAGACGGCAATGCAGGCTGGATGTCACCTCTTAGTCTGTGAGACGTTTTGCTGGAGTGGGCTCAACAGCTTCCCAACCAAACGGATGAAGAGGCAGAGGTCAAGCTCCAGCTTGGCAGGGCTTGGGAGCGACTTGGCACTTAATGGAAGTTTTGGCCGGGTAAGGGATGAGTGTCGATCCCCCGAACAGAGGGCCGAAAGGGTTGCTGTTCCTGTCGAGCCTGTTTCTCAATCCAGAGCGTCCAGACTGTCCAGATACTCCACGGGTCAGCTTGGCGCGGCGTCAGCTCTGTCGGGGCAGCCTCATCTCGGAGTTGTCATTCCCCGCACAAGGTGCAGAATCGGCGGATTGGTCGCACAATGTCAAGAGTCAGATCTGGTTTGACGAATAGCACCTGAGGTCCACCTGCAACATCATCTGGCATACCCTCCTTTGTCGCAGGTCGGTCGTTGGCAAGATGCGGGGAAGATGAGATAGATGGATCGATGTGCGTGCACTGCACTGTCCTGTGGTCCATGCAGCAGTCGAGCTGGAGCTGCAGCTGCTGCAGTGGTGCGTGCTCACTGGCAGAGTGCCCAGGTGGCAAGAGCTGATGGGAGAGTGCTTGGAACTGGACCCTGGTCTGATGTCTGCTCAAAGTTGTTTCATGCAGGACCCTTTCAGTCTGACAGAGCGAGACCGAAATGCACGGGAAGGGAAAGGGAACGACGGCCCGTCGAGTGCAACCCTGAGATGGCTGGAAACGCCCAGGCGACGTGGGGAAGAAGCAGACAGGAATAGACTGGGGATCGTATGTATCGCACCCATCCATCAGATGCCTGTCGTTGGCTGTTCTGCGGTGTTGCTTGACTCACACTCGCTCCAGTCGACTGACTGGCTGCATTATACAGGGTTTTCCCCTAAAGAAGGTTAATTCGTGACTTCCGGTACGTTGGCAAGGGGTCCCCTAAGTTAATAGTGATAAATTACGTAGATTTCTCGGTCTTGGCGGTTAGTGCACATTAATAATATCAATATTAAATTGCACGGCGAAAATAGCTTATATAAGTAAGTCACTTAATTATAGGGTTACATACCAATTTAGCCCCCATTTACTATAATAACCGCTATTATTTGCCTTAGCATGCTTAAATAAAGGTGTATTAGCATATTTAAGCTAATGGCTTCCTAAGCTAAGGAAATTGCTGTTATTAAATTTTTACCTATAGGTTACTCCTTAAGTTATTTATTAATTTACCTCTTTATAAATGCCTAAATATACTTAATTAAGTTAAGATTTAGTAAATAAGCCAGCTAATTAACAATATAAGCATTAGGAAAGTGCTTATTAAAATAAATCTTAATTAATCTTAATTTATATGCTAAAGCGTTATTTTATTAAATAATAAAGAAATTATTAAACCTTTAAAAAGCTTTTAACTTTAAGAGGATTTTTAATTAATATAACTTGCTATTAATCTTTCCCTATTTCTTCTCTTAAATAACTAAGGAACCCTTCTTATTATTAATAAAATAACCTTAAAATATTTAATTATTAAGCTTAAACTTAACTTTAAAAAACTCTTTAATATCCTTGCTAAGGTTAATTATAATAAATTTATAATAAGCATTAAGGCTATTAAATTATATTTTATTAATTTATATTTAATAAGATTAATTAATATTTAATAAGTAAAATTATTAAAAGGCAAAAGCAAGTTAAGCTTATTTAATATATAATAAAAAAGAAAAGCAGGTTGGTTAAACTATATAGCAATACCTTGCAATAAGCATAATATTTTATAAAGCCTTTTTGCTAAAAGGAAGTAATAAGGAATGTAAATTTTAAGTAGTTTTATATATTATAATGCGTTTTATCTTTTTAAATATATTTATTAAGGAAAAGAAAAGATTAATAATATTATATAAAATTATGTAAGGATAATTATAAAGCTATATTAAGTTTTATATAATAAAGGCATATTACACTTATATAATTATTAAATTAAATATATAAGCAATAACAAGCATAATTAATTAATTATAATAATAAAGGGTATAGCATTAATTATACTTATATTTCATAATATTAATAATATATTAATAATATCCTAAAAACTATATAATCTTAAAAAAAAATATAAATTAAATTACTTTATATTTAAAGTTTTTATTATTAATAATAATAAGGTTATTTAAAAAAAATCCTATTTATAAGAAAAGAGGAAGTTAAAATATATAAAAAGAAAAGGTTTTATATAAGAATTAGTTAAGGGCTTTATAATGCTTAAGGGTATATTAGGCTTATTAACTTTAAATGCTAAAAGAAAAAAGCTTATTAAAAGCAAGGGGGCTTTAAGGGATTTAAAAATTAAAGCATAATTAATATAAAAACCCTTAATAAAAAAGCTTATTTGCAATATATAAACTAAGGGTTGCTAAAGCATAAAAGCAAGTAAAGATATTAATATAATTAACTTAATAATATCCTTATTTAACTATTTATTAATACCTTCCTTATTATTATTAAAATTATTATTAATATTAAAAAAAGCATTAATATTATAATAAATAATATTTATAAAGGAGGGAAGTGCTTATAAGATAGCTAAATTAGCCATTAATTAAATGCTTACTTAAGGTAAAGTATATATTATTATAATAATGTAATTATATAAAAAGGGGTAGGTAATTATTAAATAAATTTAAAATATAAAAAGTGCTTAATTTAAATATATTTTTAACCTTATCTTTATTATAAAACTATAGCCTTTTTATAAATAATAATAATGGCAATAAAGGTATTATTAATTAGCTTTTAAGGACCTTTAATTACTTAATTAAGAGCATTATTATAATAAAAGCTTAAAATACTTAAAAGATTAAGGAGGTTGCATTTAATTAAACTTAATTTAAAGGCCTTTTAGCAATAATTTAATTAAAAAAATTAATATATTTATACCCTTAATTAATATAATAATGTAAGGAATAATAATTTAATGCATAGGTATTAATTTACAATAATAAAAAGGGCCTATTTACTTATTTATCATTTTTTCTTAAATTTTCTAATTGTAAAAATATTATGCCCTTATTACCATGGCTTACAACTTATTTATTGCTATTTAATTATAGCTAATAATAATTTTAAGAGCATTTTTCTTATATAAACTTACTAAGAAAGTTATCCTTATAATTAAAAGGTAATTAAGAAAAGTTTTTTAATTCTTAAAAAATTAAAATAATATATAATGTTATACCTTAATTATTAATTTAGGTTGAGTTAAAGGCTTTAAACTTTTAATAAGGATTTATATAAAGGAATGGCTAGTGTGGGAATAATGGGTGTTGTTTGTATGGAGGATTGTTTGGGATTAGGCAGCTTTAACCCATTGAAATGCCTGGCAGGTAGCAACCTTAGCACTATATATAAAATAGCTAGCATAATTAAGCCTTTTGCCTTCCTTTCTTTTATAATTAATAATAATAAACCACTATATTAACTAAATGTTATATTGCAATATATAACTTAGCTAATATTAATTAATAATTGCAAGGGCAATTATAAATTAATAAAGCTTAAAGAAATAACCTTTTAATTATGCTAATTAGCATTATTAATATTATAAATTTACATAACGCAATTTACAATAATAATAATACTTAATATATAAAGAAGTAGTTATTATAATAAGAAATTACGGCGGACTCCCCTACCCTTAATATATATATATTTATTATGCTTTAAACAACCTTAATAATAACTTTTAAATTTAATAATTATAATTAAAAAAACTAAATTAACATTTATTTTTATTAATAATATATTTACTTATATCTTATTATATAAATAAACTTAAAGAAAGGAATTAATTTGCCTTTTAATGGCTAAGTTATAAAAGTAACCCTTAACTTCTTTATTTTTCCCTTAACACTACTTATTTCCCCTTTTTATTACTCCCTTTTTTAAATTAAATATATCCCTATTATTACTTTATTAAAATAATAAGAAATAATAATAATATAATAAATATAATAAGCAATATTGCTAGCTAAAATAGTTTATTAATATTAATTATAATGAATTATATTTTTATATTTAAAAGCATTGTTAAGATACTTAACCCTTTAATATAAATAAATCCCTTAGGATCTTTTAATAATAAATAATACTTAAATACTTATGTTTAAGGTTAAATTTAAGCTATAGCATATATATTAAGTAATAAGGTATATAAAGCATTTATTAAGGACTTTTATGGCTAAATTAAGCTAATGTTTATATAAATTAATAAAGACTTGCTATGCATTATTAAGAAAACTTTTTAAGTTAAGGGTATTTATACTTAAGGAGTAAATACCTTAAGGGAATTAATATATATCCTTAAAGCATTAAATTATCTTAAATGGCTAGTAAATTAAAAGCAAAAATACTGCATTATATTTAAAATTAATTAAATTTAAAGCTATGATTTAAGTATTTATATTATTCTTAACTTTAATTATACCCTGATAGAAGCTAAGGAACTACTTAATGATGATGATTCTCCTAATCCTGGACCATTTAAACCGCCCGGCTTATTTAGTGGTAGCGGTGAAGGTAATAATGGCCCTTTGGG